CGCTGTTCAGAAATGCGATTTCGGCAACCCTAAACTACTTGTGCAATGATGGGCAATAGACTATCCTATTGAATTATCATACTGACGTTGGGGCATCTTGGTTGGCTGGCTTGAGTGTTGCACGCAATAGCCCAGAACTTGATCTCATCCGGCCTTCGGCCTTCTCGTCGTCAAGCGAGTGATGCTAATCCCTTCGATGTAAGCTTATGAGGTAGTGCTTTGAAATAGAAAGAGCGACCCTCACTCCTAAATCCTTTCTCAGGCCCGGCGGGTTACGAATCATCGAGGCAACTACTGACTCACCTGTGGGTACGTCGTTGAGGTTCGGTGCACCGAGCGTAGGGCAGGACAATAGAAATGCCCGCCGGCACTTAAAAAAACACTGATTACTGTATTATTGTTCTAGCTTCTTGGCGGGCTTCTGGAATTGGACCAAGCTCACGCCGCTAAGCCAAGGGGAGCCTCGAGCAGGGCATAGCTTCGGTGGTCGGCATTAGAGTTAAGTGCGCGGACACGCGATACCCTCCAGATAAACATGCCCAGATAGATCCGAGGCCGAGCTTGGTCAGCGCCGGAGAGTCTAAGCATTGATTGCAAGGGTGCCGTATGTTCGATTCTGATGTGCGATTGGTTTGGACCCGGTCTGTACTGGGGCGCTTTCGTCAGCCTCGACGAGGGACCACTTGGTAATCGAACGGGAAAGAAGAAAAAACTGGCGATTGATAAAAATATGTATTAAGGCCCTTCCCCTTTCTCATAGGGCTGTTCTGAGGCCCAGTCAGTTCACTTCGATACCAAAACCAACCGCCTACGATGGGTCTTCTTCCTCCACGATCTCCCGGCCGACAGCCACTCCTTTCCGATGCATGGGCGAACTCATGGCCTAAAGTGGCAATCCCCATTGCCATGTCCGCCCTGCTGCTGCAGTTGCTCTTCCTCGGGAACCTCTCCTATCTCTTCGGCGCGCTCTTTCGCTCGAACTCTCGGACACACGCTCTAAAGATCCTTGCTATCGACTACGATGGAGGGAACATCGGCAAAGCCATGTCGCTGGCATATACGTCCCTGGAGGCCGACACCTTCCCGACCCTCGAGTTCCGATCGCCAGACGACTACCCATCCCCGGATGATCTCCATAACGCGGTGTGCAAGGGCGGATACTGGGGCGCCATCTACACACACTCGGGAGCCTCCGATCGGTTGAACCAGGCCGTCCGGGTCGAGAACACAACCGTATATAACCCTGCCGAAACGATTTCGTACATCTACAACGGCGTCTTCTTCCCAACAATCGCTTCTTCAGTCATCGACGCTAATCTTGCGCGCCTGGTCAACGTCGCTTCTCGAACCTACTACCGCGTTGCCCGTGATGATGCGGCCGCAGTCAACATGACCGATCCGGTCTCGTCCAGCGTCTTTCTAAACCCGATCCAACCCTCATCAGATCCTATAATGCCGACTATCCAAGGAGCCCGTGCACTACTCAACACTGTGTCGATGGTGTTCCCAGCTCTGATGCAGTTCTTCTTCCTAATGGGTCTGAACGGCATCATGTTTGGTGCTGGTATGTTCGCAAACATGTCCAAGCGTGATGTGTATTTAACCCGCCTGGTCGTCGGCAAGGTGTATACACTCGTCTCGGCACTAGGAACGATCGGCTACATCTGGGCATTTCGCGAGTCCTGGGGCGTCACTACAGCCCAGTTCTTCATCAGCTGGATGGCCTTGTGGCTCTTCATGGAAGTCCAGTACCTCGTTATCGACACGATGATGGAATCAGTCGTGCCCCTCCAATTCTTCGCCTTCTTCCTTGTAACCTGGATCATCACCAATATTGGAAGCACCGTCAACCCATTCGAGCTCACGGCGGGATTCTATCGCTGGGGGTATGCCTTGCCTGCTCGCAGCACCTGGATTCTATTGCTGGAGATTTGGTCCGGGGGCTGTAGGTCCGAGAAAGAGATTTGCCTTCCCGTCCTTTTCGCCTGGTGGCTTCTTGGTAGCTTGGGGAGTGCCTGGTCCGTGAGGCAACGTTGCCTGCTGGCCGACCAGAAGAAGAAGGAGAAGTTCGAGTCTGAAGAATCGAGCTCGAGCTAGATCTCCTTGTTTCATTTGTTTATCTGAATAATTTATAGAATGTATAATATACCCGCACAATTGCTCCTAGAATTACGTGCAGTTAGAATTAGAATTAAATTAGAGTTAATTTTGAAACATCAAGCCATGATATAAGAGCCCGCTGAACATATGCAATATGTGCAATGTTGAGTGTATGAATATGGGTGGAAGCTGTCGCGGAGAGCCTCACGGACTTTATAGCAAGAATCAAAACTTCTCCCAAAGGAATAATAAAGATATTGGGTTACATCTTCACTGTAGACAGGATGCCTACCACTCAATTGCTAGTGTGCCACGATCTTGTCACCTTGGAAAGCCGCGACATCCAATGGTAGTTTTCAAGTGTACCAACCCGGTATTCAGTCTGCACTGCCTGACTACCCAAGGCGCAATCAGAGAAAAAGCTAACCCGCTTATCATCTCCATGGGCGCACTTATTCTACGCAGCATAACGGTGAAATGACTCTCATGCGTGTAGCGTGGGGCTGATGCGGCTGAAGCCTAGAGCTGAAAAGAAGTCAGCCCGTCGATGAGCCCACGACTCCGCCCAACGCAGCTTGCACAGAGCAGATAAAACCTCGGGCAACAGACTCCTTTGGCGCAGGAGGAACCAGGAAAGACCAAAAGACCAACCTCAAAATGGACGACATTCGGATAGAAACATACCAACGCATCCGCAAGGCCGTCTCATCCTCCGTCAACGTCCCGGCGCGCCCAGTCTCCAACGAGGCGAAACTGACCAAAGCCCGGGCCGCGCTGCCAAACCCATCAGCTGAGGACTATCTAAGCGAGAAAGGTTATCCTGATACCTTGGACCATCTCATCGATGATATCGCGCCAGCTCTCAATGGCTCAAACCGGACTGCGACATACTGGGGAGGATCTGCGACGGGGGGCACGCTGACGATCGCGGAGATTGCCGAGAACCTCGCCAGTGCATTTGATCAGGACGTGTCGACTCACCTGCCTCGGGAATCAATCGCCACCGAGGTGGAGGATGCCGCGCTGGTGATGCTCTTAGATCTCTTCCATCTGGGCAAGCCGGAAGAGTGGGAGGGGAGGACTTTTACGACTGGGGCTGTGGCGGGGAACATGCTTGGCATCGCATGCGGACGTGAGAAAGTGATACAAGCCAGACTTCCCGAAAGCTCGGAGAGTGTGGCGGATTTGGGCATACTGGACGCTTGCATGCAGGCTGGCGTTAAGAAGATCCAGATCCTCGCCGATGGGGGGCATAGCTCGCTTGCCAAGGCTGCGTCCATCGTTGGCTTGGGTCGGAACGCGGTAAAGGTGCTGCCGTACAGCGAATCAGAGCCGTGGCGACTCGACATCAAAGCTGTAGAAAAAGAGCTACAGAAAGAGGGGGTCGCGAATATCATTGCTGTCAGCTTTGGCGACGTCATGACCGGAAGATTCGCAACGACGGGTATAAGTGACATGAAGAAGTTGAGAGAACTTGCGACCAAGTACAACGCTTGGCTTCACGTTGACGGGGCGTTGGGCATATACACTCGTGCTCTGCCAGCGGACAAGGAGTTTGCGCGTTTGAAAGAATATGCTGCTGGCTTGGAGTTGGCCGACAGTATCACTGCCGAGCTGCATTCGGTTCTCAACGTCTCCTATGACACAGGAGTCTTTTACACGCGGAAGGTATCTACGTTATATGCTATCTGTAACAATGCCGGCGAGGGGTCCTTATCACCGGCATATGGCTCTGAACAGAGTCCTCGGAATATTGGGATTGAGAACTCACGCCGATTCCGCGCCTTGCCGGTGTATGCCGTTCTACTTTGCGAAGGCAGAGATCGTCTCAGTCAGATGCTTGCTCGGCTCGTAAGATCGACCCGCGCTATAGCAAAGATTATCGCCTTCGAGCCAGGGTACGTCTTACTGCCAGGCGATAGCACCTTGGGCAAGATTCGCGCGCTTGTGAGCGATATGCATGATATCCATTTCACTGTGCTTTTCCGAGCCATAGACGATAGTCTTAATGACAAACTCGCGGATGAGATCAACAATGATGGCGTCTTTTATGTGGGTAAGACAATTTGGGAAGGGAAACCAGCAATGCGAATTGCTGTGGCGAGTTGGAGGATCAACGAGAAAGTAGATCCGGGCAGCGTCGGATACTATTTAGGCACATATTCGATGGAACACAAGCACGGCCCTTGGAGACGGTAGACCTGTGAACTCAATGTACATTCTCTCTAAAGATGGTACGCACACTGGCTGGCGGGAGATTAACGTTATACATAGAACTGTGACCATGCAACAACTCTATTCATAACGGTGCTTGGATCTAGGATTTGCTCTTTGTTACCTTTGAAAAATCAAGATTTAGCCCGAAGATAACTTATGCCCGGGACGATCACTGTTTTTATCCCACAGCTCCCTTAGTGACCTCGAAATTGGCCCTACTTAAAAGCTACTGTTCAACTTAGAATCAGAAACTAAGGATGGGAAACTAGTTGATTGAGGCCGAGATGAGTTGGTTCATAGGGTATCGTAGTTAATCTCAGGCATCGAGGCAAGCCCTCAGCGCATTTAACGAGTATATAAATCTAATGTAATGGCTTTCACGTTGATTAAGTTCGATGGCCTTCATGACTTGATAGAGGGGTGGTCTACTAAAATTTTGCTCCTCCAAAAGTAGCTTAGATTTGTTCGAGATTTGCTAGGGGTGAAGCTGAAGGGCTTGATGAGACTACTGATGTCTTAATTGTTAGTAAATTGGTAGAAGCCTCCCTCCCTATCATTCATACTTCTATTTAGCCTTTAGAGGAACCAAATGAAGACAATGCCGATTAAAGAAGGAGAGTTCATAAATTGATTCCAGGATCTAATATGGTTTCTAGAGTTAGCATAATCGACTGCCACTTGTTTCAATATGCCTCAAGATCTTCTAATCGCCCACGCAACGCCCACCGCGTGCGCCAGTCCTCCTTTGGTACCCTTTCAATCTCTGCTCGGAGTCGTGCTTTCTCAGCTTCTCTTGCCTCCGTCTCCTCAGCTGCCTCATTCCTGCATACCCACCAACCCGAAACTGGTTGAATGGTGTCGCGCACAATAGATTCACGCTCTTGCCCATCTGCTGACTGATGGGGTGAGTCCTGGCTGTCGAGTGCATTGGTTGTCACCCTGCTGCCAGAAGTCGACGATGTGGCAGAAGTGCCAACCGAGCCGGCCACCATGGTTGCCTCATATTCGTCCCCAAGATCATTTACCGAGATAGGTACAGATGCATATCCGGCGGGGACGCTGTCAATGTCGATTGTGGGGTACAATATGTCGCTGAACATCTTATTTGAAAGGCTTTTGGCCTTACCATCCTCGTCCCAGAAACCGAAAGCCGTGAGCCACCCTGTCAGATAGTCTGTGCCACTACCCCTGCTGACCTTATGCACAATAGTGTTCCAAAACTCCATTGTTTCAAAGCTATCGGGGCTTTGAAAAGAGGTGATCATACCGTTCAGGATTGGGCGCAGCATCTTGGCGAATTGAGTTGGTTCAGATCCTAATTGGTCGATCTTGTCGATGCGGTTGAGGATGTCTTTCCAGTCGTCAATCTCACCAAGTAAGGTGACAGAGGGTATGCCGCATGCGGTAGTGACGCCGTAGGAGAAATACTTTTGCATCGCCCCCATGAAGAGAATAGCACCGACAACCTTGTCACTATCGGTAGTGGTGGAGAAAGAGGGCATCACCCAACCACGAAGCTCGGGATCAACGACATTCTTGGCAATCAGATGAGTCATCTCGTTCGCAATATATGCAAAATCAAGTTCAGCCACTTCCAGGTGAAGATGCTTCTGGCCTGAATGGGCGACAAAGAAGGAGCGCAAGTCTTCTGCATGAGCGTTGATGTAGAAGCTGAGTTGTGTCAAGATGGCAAACCACACATCCTCTGGGCGAATAACTAGGTGATGATGTGAGCTGTAGGCCTCGTATGCCGTCCAGAAGAAGCCGTTGCTTGATGCGGTGATATGTCCTTGACTGAACTCTTCAGGGGCGAAAGAGGCTTGTACGAGCTTTTTGCATCGATCGTAATGCTTTGGAGCTGCTCGCTGTAGGAGCTTAGAAGCATCCGTAAGTTTCGCCCACCTCCAGGCCTTTGCCTCATGGTCGACGACTTGAAGCGTGATAGGCATTGTATGGTAAATCGCGCCTATGATATCACAACGAAGAGGTATTTCTCAAAGCACGTCGGCGCTAGTTTTTCTCACGGAGCATCAAATTGATGGGGTTCGATGAAGGCAGGGATATGAGGAGTGACGCCTGATAATGATGATATATATAGGTTCAACATCTACCCATTTGGCAACCACCGGAGAGGGGTCCCGGTGGTTGCCTGATTTCAACAAGCTTATGTACCTAGGTATTATGGTGGGCCATTAGTGTCACAGATTAGGCAACCAGGCAAAAGGAAAGAAATCCTTAGCCTAGCTTCCACAAGTTCTTATTATATAGCGCGTCACGGATAGACATCTGTGGGGTTCGATTTTGTGAATGGTATCACGTGAGCGGTTCCCGGCCGGTTCGCCGGGATATTAAACTGATGGGAAGGGGCATCTCAACCTGAGCGTTTGAAGAGCCCAAGCCTTTATGGAATAGAAGTATCTACGGTGGAAAAGATCCTTCGATATATAGGCTTATTTGCCTAACTCTCCCTCTGATATGGATGATATTAAGTATAGGAGGACTCATCGTGCTTGTGTTCCGTGTCGGTACGTTGAGTTTCTCCCTACCTTTACTGAAATTCTAACTCCTAAGTAGGCGTAAGAAAGTCAAATGCCCCGGAGAACATCCAATATGCTCTTTCTGTCAGCGTCTCGGGCAAAACTGCGAGTACAGGCCTGTCGAACAAGACCCCCAACAAGGGATTGAGGTCCAAGTTATTGCAAGTTCGGAAGCAAAGAACCAAAAGCAATGTGATTATGTGCTAACTCATGCTTTAGCACGGACGAATGGATTCTTTGGAAACAAAAGTAGATCAAATGATGGAAACTGTCAAGTAAGTGTTGATCATGTAGGCGAAAATGCGCTTGACCAACATTCATCTCAGTAATATCCTGCATGCTCAACTTCGATCGCCAACAGCCTCTTCTTTATCTCCGATTTCCACAGCCACTCAGAACACTTCTTCAAGTACATCGCAAGTTATACCAACGCAACAAAGACGTGATTCGTTTCTGTAAGCTTCGTTGACGAGATGTACATTTCCCAGAGGCACCCTCCTAACCTACTATAGGCAACCATCCTCAGAAGATCATGAGCTATTGCAAGCGGGCCAGTTCTATAGAATATGGTGTCACAACCAGCCACTTTGCCTTTTTCGTAATGAAAACTTTCTTGACTCTCTTAGGCATCGGGATAAGGAGCTTTGTCTTGCGATCAAGCTGCTAGGTAATCGATTTTCACCGGGACAAATGACACCGGAAAAGAGAGAAGCTCTGAATACGCTGTCCCACACTTGTCGGAAATTGGTAGCAGATCGAATTCACAGGGGTAAAATAAGACTTTCTACTCTACAGACTCTTTGTCTCCTTAGCATTACCAGCTTTGCGGGTAAGAATACGTTCCTGTTAGCTCAAGTACTCAAAATACCCCTGACACGTTGAAATTTAGATGGGTACGCCATGCAAGCTGGTTATGACCTCGAGACAGCTCAATATTTCGCTTGTGGAATACCCGTTGGCTCATCCTTGGGTGACCCCGTTGAATATACTCTATGCATTCAGAGCATTTCGCTGCTACAGAGCTTGCAAGGATCTATTCCTGATATTCTGGAAGCCGGGAATAACCAGTCTCCATTTCAAAATAGGAATAGACTGTTGGAGGTGATCAATCATCGTGCCAATAGGCTGAGGTTGCTACGTGAACCAAGCACGGAGAAAGACTTAGATAGCAAATACGGGATACTTACCTATATGGCAAGGGCTGCTGAAGCCTGGCATTTGACCAGAGCATATGCGGCGATGAGAGTTGGTCCAGATAGCCTTCCACCATGGCACCCTGAATCTGACTACGCGCTTATTAACTTGAAGAATTTCGAGCTCGACTCTCAATTTCCTCTCAAGTACCGATTTGCTACTAATGATTTCGGGGGAACTTCCCCCGAGGTACTGAAAGAGGGCAGAGATTATTGGGGGCCTTGGATTTTTATTCAGTTCATCCATGCTGCTATCCCAACTCTTTTGAATCATCCCTTCTTGCTGTCTCTACGTCTAAAGAACTTCCGACACAAGATACCTCAGACATTTATGTACCAATCATTCGACTTGATTTCGAAGCACACAGCCTGGATCATCTGCTATCTTGATTTGGTGGAGAAGCAAGAGTTTCACATCACTGATCCCACAATTGCCCACGCCGTCCTTATAGTCGCAACAATCCATCTCCAGCATAGTTTCGTTGACGATAGTGTGCTTCGCACCAAGGCACAACATGGTTACGATAAATGTTTACGTTTTCTGGACCGATATGGTACCAGTTGGCCCTTGGTATTTAATATGGTAAGCTTTCAACTTACAATTGTTCAAGTAGTCGTGTGTACTGACCTGCGTGTTTCAGACCCGAAATCTACGGAAGTTACAGGACAGTGTTTCTACTGTACAGATGAGCAACAATGATTCATGGGGCAACACTCCTTCGTGGTCCATTGACGCCCAATTACTTTGGGATATCCTAGTCCTCGAAAAGGCAGGTCATGATCAGACTTCCGAAGATAGAACAATGTACGAAGATATGGTCACCACCCATGTTGAACATCGGGAACAGGACGTCGGCGAAAACCTTTCAATAGTAGGCTCAGCGGGTATCTCTGGCCACAAAGGAGCGTTACGGGAAATCTCAGCCTATGCCCCTCAGGATAAAGACCCCTATGAAACACTTAGGAGACGTTCTGCATCGGAAAGAAGCGCAGATGGGACGCATGATTTTAGTGTTCTAGGAGATTATATGCATGATGCTTCGGACAACACTACCATAGACGAGAGTAGTTTTCTTTTACAGGCTGAAGACTTTGGTAGGGCGGTGAAAGACTGGATAAACTTCGACATGACTGATGTAGTCTAAGCATAACAGTTGCTTTCTTACGCTTTTTGGTGAAGATAGCTGTTTGAGTTTAACTTCAAAGCACAATGAGACTTGGCCAAAGATTGGTCATAGTATGATTGGTAGGCTCCTCTAATCGTCATGCTTGCTAGTTTCACTATCACATCGGCCAACTCTGACATTGAGCTCCGTGTTCTCCGCACTTCCCATGGCCGGTCTCACACTGAGATTGTGGAGACGGTGCTGGCGCCGCGAAAGCCTAATTGAAGTTCATTCCCGCTCACACATTCACGCCTCAACAAACCCCGCAAACACGGTAAGGAACCCGCCCCCGCCCCTTTCTTGGTTGAGAGACAGGACATGTCCAACCACCGGAGACGATTTGTCATGCCATGGCTGTCATAGCATCAAACTAGAACAGATATCTGTTCATATGTGAGGATTGATACTTGTGATTTTCCTGCATTAGGTATCGCTCTATCTTCCCACACATTTCTTAGTTCTTCAGGTTCTCCTTAGCCCACTCATCAAGGTTGCCATAGACATGGAGCCACAAGGAAGTGTGATCAAGGTCCTAGTACGGCACGAATTAGTATGTCATAGTTCGGATAACACCTCTTGAAAGTACTCACATGTGTTCGTGGATCTGCGTCAACTTCCTTGAAGGCCTTGATAGCAGCCTCACCTGCCGTTGGGGCAATACCAACCTTCTTGGCGGCATTGATACCAATGGTAAGATCCTTTACACTTAGAGCGGGAGCGAAGGCTCGCTTGTAGTTGTTGCTGGAAGGAGCATCGGGCACAAGACCGGGCACCGGCTGCTCAAGTCCCATGACCCAAGAGTTGGCAGTGCCCTCTCTGATACACTTGAAGAGGGCCTTCTTGTCGATGCCGTACTTGAGGCCGATAGCCATTCCCTCAGTTGCAACCAAGTTGTTAGACAAGGTGATGTAGTTGTGAGCAATCTTGGCTACCTGGCCCATCCCGAGACCACCGCAGAAGGCAAGTGTGCTGGGTACACCAACAAATGAAAGACTGTCGTAGATGCGCTTTCCGACTTTGTCGCCCTCGGTAGGTTCAGGATGACCGATCATGAAGGAGAGTGTTCCTGCGTTGGCACCCCACATGCCACCCGATACAGTAGCATCAACAAAGTGACCCAGCCCAGCATCAATAATAGTCTTGCCGAGTTCTTGTGTGAATTCAATCTCGATCGTGCTGCACTCGATGATAAGACGTTCAGGGTTCTTAGTAGCTGCGATGACACCATTCTCAGGGTCGAGATAGACCTTGCGAACGTGTGGGCCTGCAGGAAGACTGGAAAGAACAACTCCATCATCGACCTTGGTCACAAGATCCTTTGCTGAAGATGCGGCTTCGATCTTTCCGTAGCTGCCGTACTCGTTAATGAGTCGCTGAATGAGAGTCTGGTCCAAGTCCAGAACATGAAGCGTTGAAGAAGCAGGAATCTTCTTGCGCAGGTTACTGGCCATGCCGTAACCAATGATACCAAGGCCTTTCAAAGTTAGCTTTCTGTTTACCATTGTTTTGTGTTTGGAACATACCAATAACACCGTAGTCTGCCATGTTTGTGATTGATATTGGTTGTTGATGTGACTGTTGTAGATGCGGTAACTGAGAGATTACTATGAAGAGTGGTTGTTTATTGGGAAAGATATAATACAACAGAGATGTTCTGCCATATTTATGTTCTGTTGCAAGAGGTGAACTCGACAGTACGCAATCTTATCATATCAGGACACATAAGGAGAACCCCCCGCCCGAATCCGCTCACGTGGATGAAACGTCCGATCTTTCCTTCTTCATTCACAATTTTCGATTGCCGAAGTTGATCTCTCGACTTGGGTGGAACGTAGAAACAGCTGCATCTGTAATGGGTACGGGCCGCGGTGGAGTGAGGCGTGAGTGGCACGATGGCCATAGTTGTGGGGACGGGCCGCGCCAACACTCCCTCACCAGGGGAATCATATTATCTTATATGGTTCAGTCACTTGCGAATAATGTCATCTATTGTTTTGCTCTTTTTCTTTCAGCAATGCTTACCACTATTTTCAGGGCAATACTACCCTTGCTACCCAGATACAGGGCAGTATATAAATTGGTCTCAGCAACTTCTTTTTAACGAAAAGATGACGTACGCAAGCGAGATACATACCTTTCATTCGGGACAAACACAGCCTGAATCGTCCTCTTCTTCTCTCAAATTTACATCTATTGACCCTAGCACGGGGAAACCCCTTGCCACCATATACACCACCACCTCTGAGCAACTCAACGATGCCATTTCTTCTGCCCAGAATGCTTTCAGACAGTGGTCACAGACACCAGCCAAAGAGCGAGCTGCCGTCTTGATCCGCGCTGCAGCGATTCTGCGAGAGCGAAACGACGATTTAGCTCTTGTGGAAACCCTTGACACTGGTAAAGCCTGGTCAGAAACATCCACTGTCGACATTGTCACTGGTGCTGACGTTCTGGAATACTATGCACATTTCATCACCGATGGCATCCATGGACAGCACATCCAGCTACGGCCTGACGCATACGTCTCTGTCACGCATGAACCTCTCGGCGTGTGCGCTGGAATTGGCGCCTGGAATTATCCTATTCAGATCGCACTATGGAAATCAGCGCCCTGTCTCGCCGCAGGAAACTGTATGGTATACAAACCAAGCGAGGTGACGCCTCTTCATGCCAATATCCTCGCTCAGATATACATCGATGCTGGTCTACCCCCTGGAGTTTTCAACGTTGTGTATGGCGACGGACCTACTATCGGTGCACCATTAGTCGTACATCCTGGTATCGCCAAGGTCAGCTTTACGGGCCAGGTCAGTACTGGCAGTAAAGTTGCTAGCCAGGCAGCGAGTGATCTTAAGGGTATTACAATGGAACTTGGCGGGAAGAGTCCACTTCTCATTTTGCCAGATGCAGACGTGGAAGAAGCATCTGATATCGCTATGATGGCCAACTTCTTTTCTACAGGGCAAGTTTGCACAAACGGTACACGTGTGTTCGTTCCCGATGTGCTTCTTGACCAAGTTGAACAGGCTTTGGTGAAGCGATGTCGTGAAGGGATCCGGATGGGGTTGCCGAAGGAACATGATACTAATTTCGGGCCTGTTGTATCTGCTGCGCAACAAATCAAGGTCAATTCCTATATTCAACATGGCCGTGAGCAAGACAAGGCAACGGTATTATACGATGGCAGTATCGATGCACACTTTCCAACAAAAGAAGGCTTCTGGGTACCTCCTGTGATCTTTACCGGCTGTACTGATGATATGCGCATCTGTCGAGAGGAAATATTCGGCCCCGTTATGTGTATTCTTCCTTATAGCACTGGTGGTCCAGAAGAGGAGTGGCTGTCTCAGCTGATAGAGCGAGCAAATGATACTGAATTTGGCCTTGCAGCAGGTGTTGTTGCATCAGACATTGGACTAGCTCAAAGGATTATTCAACAATTAGATGCAGGAATAACCTGGATCAATACCTGGGGTGAGAGTCCAGCAGAAATGCCCGTCGGTGGTTGGAAGATGAGCGGCATAGGGTTGGAGAATGGTCATGAAGGGATCCGAGCCTATCTCCGGACAAAAAGCACATTAGTGCAGTGTTCTAAAGGGGCTTGTGGAGGTGTCTTCACTGCTTTGTAAAAAGGCAACCATCAGCTGTTATTTGGTAGCTTTACGGCTCGTTTTACCACCTGATGTTTGAGCTGATAAGGCTGCTATTATATGGCGGGTTATTAGATGACCGTCTATTATATAGATTAATCCAAACATAAAAACCTACTTTAGTACTAAAACTATCTATATTCCGCTAAATTAAAGTCATTAAATAACCAATGGATTACATAGATCTTTGTATTTTAAATCACCTATGTACCTAGTCCATGTGATTAATTGTTACATGTGCTAGCCCCCTGCATATAGTGCACTGGAATAAGCATCTCAGGGTCTAAAGAGCTTCAATGACAGGGTGTTGCAATTGCTGCCGAGGCCGCCTATAGAACCCCGCCAGACTTTTATGGCGCCGTCAATCCCGCGTCTCGCACTAGCGTTGCCTTCGTTTTCATCTTTTTACCTACCCTGAAGTCATTTGCAATCCTGATCATTTAACGTGACAGCAACCCAATATATCTGTCTTAAGTTCTTTGACACCGCTGTAGGCAATCGACTTGTTGATTTTCACGTATTCAAGGCACTTAGATGAAACTTACACTATATCCTGGCTTTGCTTCTCGACGCCTTGGAAGTTCATCCCTTTGCCTTACTCTGATATGTTTCCATATCTTGACTCGAGTCTAGATTCAAGAAACAAACTCAACACACGTATTTTGTACTATGTTTTAGGACGAGCAAGAGTAATCTCCAGCGTTGACCAGGAAACAGGACAAGTCCACTCCAGCAGGCCAAAACTCGAGGAGCTCCATGCTGTCAGTCCATTCTTCATCAGATGTTGGTGTACTTGTCGACCTCCCCTCCTATGGCGAGAAACAAGCATCAAGCACCGAAACCCTGTGGGACGCCACTAGCGCGTGAAACAATGGTCTACTCCCCGTTGACGATGGAAGAAAAACTAATATCTAGGCTTACTATTCGTCGAACCTTGTTCCTCTTTTATTCGTCATCTTTTTATTATACTCCTTCTTCTTGATCTCCTTCCACTTGTGGAAGCAAGCCTTTCGTCTTGTACCTTTATACGTTTACTTCCACTTGGCCTCATACTTTTCCTTCTTCTTCTTGTCGTCAAATTTGACGCACTTGATCTACTTCTCGTTCGGCTGCTGGCCCTTGGGACAGCTGATGAACGCGGTGTAGTCGTTGGGGTCAAAGATCTTGCCCGGCGGGCACTTATCCTGGCAGCCGTGGCACGTGCTCTTTCCAGACGTTCACCTCGTGCAAGACCAATACAGGCTCCTCCCGGGCCTCTAGATTAGGGTCATCCTCGGGGTGATTGTGGATCTCCATGAATAGCAATCACCGCACGATAGACGCATTTTAACTTGTGAATAGAGGTAGGTAGAGTAGTTGGGTGTAACTAGAGAGGAGAATGAAGACATGGGAAAGGCACGTGCCGGCAAAGATCTGCGAACACTGCCTGCTGGCGCGTTTGAAATATTAAAGTGGTCGACCGTTTATTAATTCAAGGCTGATGGTTGGACAGAGTTTGGGACGTGGAGTCTGTCACCGGCCGGAAGTTCGGCATGCAGGGGTAATTATATACATTGCTTTCTACTCGGAGCTCCGAATCTTAGGCCTGGTTTCCACTCCGGCCGGATCGTCGGCAAGCCGTTCGACATAGTAGATAAATTCCCCCAGTATCGACACCCATTCCAGTCGTGTAGACACTCCTACCCACGTGGGCAGATGGAAGAAACATGGAAGCTTTGAAATCTCCGAGACCTTGGTGCAAGATCAGCCCAAACCTCCGAGACATAGTACCTACGCACAAATATGTATATCATACATGATCTACTCCATGGTTTACCATGATGAATTAAACAAGACACTCTTCTAGGCTCTGCTCTCTCAATCCTATACACCTATCTATAGATAGACGGACTTGAGTGCAATTGACCTTGAGAATGCGGTCCCTCTCTCTGTTGGTTGTGGCCATTGCGCCCGCTGTTAATGCCTTCATCGACCGCGTCAACCACACCTCGCAGATCCGTCTCGCCTTCCATGGTAACGATGGCATGATGGTAAGCTGGAACACGTTTGACCGCGTGGATAAGCCGACGGTGCGCTGGGGCCTGACCGAGGGCAATCTCAACGAGACGTCCCAGTCCACCATCTCGGTCACGTACCCGACCTCGACGACGTACAACAACCACGTTCTCGTCACCGGCCTCAAGCCCGGCACCACCTACTTTTACCAGCCGTCCCCTTTGGTGAACACTGCAAACAAGAAGCCGTTCAACTTTACCACCAGCCGCGAGGCCGGTGATGCCCGACCCCTGACCATTGCCTACGTTGCAGACCTGGGTACGATGGGTGCCCGCGGCCTTACCACCAACGCCTCCTCGAGCGTCGCGCCCAACAACATCCTCAAGCCTGGCGAGCAAAACACCATCGAGTCCCTTGCTGCTGTGCAATCGGGCTATGACTTTCTTTGGCATAGCGGCGACATTGCCTACGCCGACTACTGGCTCAAGGAGGAGATTCAAGGTTTCCTCGAGAACACGACCATCGCTGACGGGTACAAGGTGTACGAGGCCATCCTCAATGACTTTTACGACGAGATGATGAGCGTCACCGCGTATAAGCCGTGGATGGTGGGGCCTGGCAATCACGAAGCCAACTGCGACAATGGCGGCACCACTGACAAGACGAAGAATATTACTTATGATGTGAGCATCTGCATGCCGGGCCAGACCAACTTCACGGGCTACAAGAACCACTTCCGCATGCCTTCGGACGTCTCTGGCGGAACGGGCAACTTTTGGTACAGCTGGGACAGCGGTCTCGCGCACTTCATCCAGATCGACACCGAGACCGACCTCGGCCATGGCTTCATCGGCAACGACGAGATTGGCGGCATCGAGGGAGAAGGCGCCAGCCCCGTCAACGCCACCATGAACGCCCAGACGGCCTGGCTCGAAGCCGACCTCGCGGCCGTCGACCGCTCCAAGACGCCCTGGGTCATTGTCGCCGGCCATCGGCCCTGGTACCTCAGCCACAAGAACGACAGCGGCACCATCTGCTGGACCTGCAAGGACGTCTTCGAGCCGCTCCTGACAAAGTACAATGTCGACCTCGTCCTCTCGGGCCACGCCCACGTCTACGAGCGCCAGAACCCGCTCGCCTTTGAGAAGCAGGACCCCAACGGCCTCAACAACCCGTCCTTTCCCTGGTACATCACCAACGGCGCCGCCGGGCACTACGACGGGCTGGACTCGCTGGACTCTCCACGCAAGCCGTACAGCAAGTTTGGTCTCGATACCAAGGACGGCGTCTACGGATGGAGCCGCCTCACCTTCCACAACTGCACGCACCTGACGCACGAGTATATTGCCAGCAACAACAACACGGCCGTGGACGCGGCGACGCTGTTCAAGGCGCGGACGTGTGCTGGGGTCAATGGAACTATCCCAGGCCAGAACACCAACTCGACATCGCCTGTTCGCCCCAGCGCGACGGGTACAGGTCTACCGAGTTCGTCGATGACGAGTAACCCGACTAGCTCTGCGGCTGTCTTTGGGTTATCGAGTGCTTTCGCTGTGCTTGCTGCCGCGCTGCAGTTGCTGTTTTAAGATGGACCGGGGGGATGTGACCTGAGTGTAACAACCAACGAAGTAATCTTTCACAATGGGTATTTGTTGATGGGATAGGTAGAGTCTCAGTGGAGAATGAGAAATAGTTAGTAGACAGCAACTCGATCCTGGGCTAGCCTGTTTTACTACACTGTGGTCCCTTGGAACTATCATAATATACAGTTATGACTGGAGATAATAATTCGAAACCTGTGATATAACAGAGGTTATTTTGACAGACAGACCCTACAGACGACGGTGGTGATGGAGTCTCGAGTGACACTTCACAATGAACGATGGAAATTTGAACAAGAAATACTCTTGTTAGAGCCCCCGAAGGGAACCAACTCCCAAGAAGCAGGGATATCCCGGTTGAGCCGAAACGTAGGCATCCAAATAAATGCCCAGAAATTCTGATGGCCGTTGGTGCTGTCTCTCCTGAGGGTGGCTGTTGGTCTGTGTGTCATTGGTCATTATGAAATAACGAACATAGAGCATAGCGTAGATCCATAGACTACTCTTAAGTTGGCCTCCTCATTCATTGTGGTTTGTTTGTTGACGATCAGGGGTTTCGTGGGTGCGAAGAGGACATCATTCCTTGGTGCACTAGGCCCCATTCTGGGCAGTGTCATGGGATATCCTCCAGCAGCATTGGGCGAACCACACATCTGGGTGTTCGTTGTTGCAAACGAGGAAATAAACCCCGGGTGGTGAAGGCAAGACTGGATCAAGCATGATCCATGAACTCTTATTATTCGTTGGTGCTTTGCTTCGTAAGTGGCATGACATGCTAACTCCCAAGTTCCAACGCACCAACAAGGAGGCAAGGATCTTCGACAACAGCCAACTGCATGAAGAAATTTTCCATTAGACTCTCTTCCTTTCTCTCTCCTAACAGTCACAGCGTCATTCTCCTTTTCGCCTGCGTTTTTCTCGAACATCCCTTTACGACTTATTGAACCATGACGAGCCTCAATATAAACATGTTCCGAGTCTCCCTCTTCGCCTTAATTGCCACCACTACCATGGGTCTGCCTATCTGTGGCGTCTCTCGAGGAAATTTGCCACTTTCCAATAAAGCCTTTACTCCATGCTACCTGAATGTGGAAGCATCTTTGGCGCCTAGAGCCGAGACGCAGAATCGTGTCTCGGGAGGGGTCATTGGCGGTGCTGTCGCTGGCAGCGTTGTTGGTCTTGCTATCATTGCATTGGGAATCTTCCTCATCATACGGCATCAATCACGGTCAAATGCAATGTCAGCTGCTTCCGAGTCCGAGGAACTTCCCCGTACCTCAAGCACTACCAAGTTCCCAGAGCAGTCTACTGAAATGTCGCCTATCAGAGGGCAACAATATCCCCCAAGCGAAGCGTACAATGTTCCCCAAGAGCTATATGGTTCTGAACCGGTGTCGCATGATCACAGGGTTAGTCCTGCGATCGTGTTTGAGCTGGACGCCAGCGAGCGCAGGTGATCATTCTGCCCAAGCGAAATAATTAGAAGCATTACTGCGATATATTGGGCGATACAGATCTTACTTTCGGTGGATTTACCTAGTTCTATACACAATGAGCACATATTCCCTACCGCCTGCTATCTGACTCCCACTGTCCCATTCACTTTGTTTCAATATCCATTTTCCTTCGAAGGGAACTGTCCCACTCCAAAAATACATTTCTACAAAGCCAGGTATCGAACTTAGTCTACCTGTATCCAAATCAACATTGATCGTTAATGTTAGGGAGAATAGATAAAACCTAAGGACTCATAAGATATGAATAGCAAATGAAAACCTCTGCTATATATGAGAGAGAGATTAATGAGCCCTCCTATGATAAAGTATTATATCACATCGATCGGGCCACTCGGCCCCAGTCTATCTCACGGCCTCTGCTATCTCTTCAAAAGATTTACTCAAGTGAATTTACCTTCATCAACTAAATTGGACTCTGTTAATTACAAACCTCGATGAAAAATTGGTGCCGATTCGGGTGATAGGGGCGTTTACGTGGAGTTTAGTTTTTGTGAAAGAGCAAGAACAACCCATACAAAACTACCGCAGCCTATTTCGTGAGTTCGTAACAGTCAGGGTGTCATCAATGACAAGGCACCTGTGACTACCAGATGATGATTCATGTTTGGTAAATCAGGAGAAAATACGATTTGTGCAAGACATAATCAATACTACCATAACACGACAGTCGCCACAGCACAATGCAAGTTTGAATTTCCTACGTCGTAGTCGACGTGTAATGCGCTGTAACCTCCATTTTGCTGACTGCATACGCCAGTCTCAGGCCCTCGCGGATCTTATCCGTAGGATTCTTGCATCATCCGCCCCAGATGCCGCGGGCGCGCATCTGCCCTTGCCCCTGCAATTAATGCCGAAATCATAGGATCTAGGCTGCTTAATACGGCCGCAATGTCAATCAGATTGCTCTAACTTCTCCTCTCCTCGGTCCACCCGACTGTGATTTTTAAATACCTGGAATGTGCTCGAAGCAAGAGGAACTTGGCCTTCTAGAACTGGAGTCAAAGTTAAAGCAGAATTGACGTTCATGATGTGGTATTTCGCTGGCGTACCGCTTGTTCCCCAAAACCGCGTCTGGTTCATCACTGTTTTCGCCTTCACCTGCCTGGCCTTCGTTGTGGTCTTGATGAGGCTGTATAGCCGGGTTATCCTGACCCGTCTGGTGGGCTTCGAGGACTGGTTGATTTTCCTGGCCATGGTGAGTGCCTTCTTTACGAGGCCCGTTGCCGGTTGTCGTCGAGCTAATTAGTGTCTCAGGGATTCTCGATAGCCTACATTGGGACCGTTGTTCACGGTACGAAATCCGCGATTTTCTTTTTCAACTATCCCTGGGACGTCCAACATTCCATTAACATTTTGTCGCAATGTAGAGATCGAACTGGGCCTGGGCTATGGGGTCAACCCTGACGATATGAAATCGTTCTTGCATACCGAATTCTTTACGACTTTGATATATACATGGAGCCAATGGATCATCAAATTATCCATTTCAGTTCTTTACTATCGGATATTCTCGACCGCAAAACCAAGAAAGATCATACGATGGATCATCGCTTGGTTTGTTGTCTACGGTCTGGTGAACTGTATTGCACCGATCTTCTGCTGTATCCCTGTCCGAAAGTTTTGGGATCATAATACTCCGGGGTATTGTATTGAATGGGGTTATCTTCACTAGTAAGCGTTCTTGATATCTGTGTCCCGTGGAAGCGTAGGTCATTATAATTTGGAGCTAATTCTACCCAGCACGCTCTCTGCCGTCAACATTGCGAATGACTTTCTTCTTCTGGTCTTTCCTATCCCGATACTTGTTAAACTTAATGCATCCGCGAGAATTCGTGTGATTCTTGTCGTAACGTTGACTTGTGGATTAGTGTACCAATCCCCTTCTTTGGCAGCAGAATTTACAAATCACTGACAATTCTACAGGGCTTCCATTGCATCTATCTTGAGGCTACAGACTCTTGTGACGTTCTTCTCAGCCACTCGTGACAAAAGACCAAGTAAGCTCTCCCACTTCGTGGGGTTGGCGTTTTCAAGGGGGAGCAATAGTAACCATAACAACAGTCCTAGGCAGCTCAATTACCACTTGGTCTAGCCTGGAGATCAATCTGGCCATCATATGCAGTTCGGTGGCTTCGCTCAAACCTTTATTCGCACGTTTTATTGGGTTGATCCCGCACTCAGAGGCGAAGTCTACGGATCGAAATACTCGAGGCTACCAGCCGCCCAAACAGCACAGTGACCAGTCCTGGATCCCTCTTGAAAGATTGAATGAGCGTACACAAACCACATGGTATTCGATTGATGATGTTGAGGCCGAGGCACAGAGCAGTAAATTCTGGGATGATCAAGATCGGCAGACCAAGACTTCCATAGTGGCTGGACAGAGCAGTGGGAGGCGATAAGTGGCGGATTGGCGAATCTGAAGCTGAGCAGTGACAATATGACTACATGATCCTTTCGCCAATGCGTCAATTTGTGTGATGGTGAAATCTAGATGAAGTAGCCTGTTGGCATCCTCGGGCGCGTTAGCTCCCGTCTCGGGGGCGACGGGTATAAGTTACCCCTCAGCATCTTATTCTCCTGCAGGCCCATAAGACATGCATTGCTGGGCACCGCTCCTACAGAGATGGACCCAATGATACGTCCAATTCTTCATGCTACCTTGTTACATTGGCCCCCACGGTGTGTTTCCCCGAGCGCCGCCGTTCCTCCGAAAGAGTTGTAAAAAATATCAAATATGCTGTCATGCTGCGTGTAACCCACCAGTGGTTCTACTGGTTCTTTTGTCGATGTGATTTATTCTGTGAAAGAGGTGATGTGCTGATCCTAGCCCAGATGCCCATCATCTTAATTCTTCCAGTTAAACACCTATAGTTAAGGATCAGAACCTTTAAGCTTCATTCTACGTAAAGATACAACTACTTCCAATAACTTGTGGCTTACAACAGCTCGTTTAATCGGAATTAGGTGGTCCCATCAAAAAGTGCCTGGCGGTCTAATTGTGTCTTTCCCCTTTTTTGCCTACCAAAGTCTTGTTTTAGAGACACTGGTTGTAAACCGCCTTTCTTGAATATCTGCTTGACAATGTGGTCGCTAGTGACTATCAGAAACCTGTGGCTAAGCCGTAGCGGCGTGTTGGTCAGACTAGGGAGATGCCACAGTAGCAGGCAGCTGAGGCGCAGCTGACGGGCAGGCATCCAACTGGCCTATGGATTGGTCATCACTGCGGATTACGGCATGTTTACAATGACACCACGTTGCCTGAACCGACAAGTGACAGAGAAAATGAGTCTGTCTTTCATGTCCTCGAACACAACAAACGCGCACCCAATACCGGCCAGGTGTGAACAACATGAAGAAATGTGCATGCCAGAACAACAAGCTTAGCGGCATCCCCATGGCACTTTGGGTTGTCCTGCTTCTCTCTATCCTCATTCTAGGCATCTGCCTAGTTGGAGGCCTCACCACGACACTTCTGGACGGAAGCTACGGACTCAGCTTGGCCATGGTAGCACTCATCGTCGGCTGCGTGATCTACGTCTACCGGGTGGCAAAGGAGTACTTGGAGTACCGAGAAATGGCCGCACGTCTAGTTCGACAAACGTGCGAATGCGGCGGCGCGAATGAAAATACGAGCAGGGCCCATCTTTCCAAGGGTCCGTTGAGCGATCCAGATAAAATCCGAAAGTCAGGTGTACAACTGAGTAACCATGGTCCAACGCAAGATCTGGATTCAAAGGTGTGACTTAAATGAGATCTCCCTCTAGAGCTTGCACCTGGGTGTCTTCATTCAACATCATGGCTGGCCGAGTTTGGAGCTGTGGATATTGAGTGTGTATATTGTGGGTGATTTACTTCATCGAGGGTTGCCAGATGCAAGCGATAAATCAGTGGTAATTTCTTTTACATACCTGAATGCTCTATAGGATGCATTTTACCAATGTTAGACCCCGAGAGGGCGCTGCGATGGCTGGTTTTAGTTCAAATTATTGTGATTGGAGACTTCTTATGTCGAGGTGAGAATTTTTAATGATACATGTGTACAGTTCCGGTATTTCCAGCCTTCTATCCATAATGAACCATAGTTCAAATGCGGCGAGAAAGGTTATCCAGGTTGCTTGTTCACTTCTCCACGTGTCCAGCGACGCCTTGAGCTTCCCAAAGCCTTTTCAGCTCCGAATCGTACCCAAGAAGCTCCTCCGGATTGCCAACCTCGAGTACCCTACCGCTGCCCATTACAACAGCGACATCATATTCCTCGATAGATTGAATGCGGTGGGCAACCTCGATGATCGTACGTCCCACAAACTCTTCCTTTATGATGCGGCGGATCTCCTTCTCGGTCGTTGAATCAACACTGCTCGTTGCCTCGTCAAAGAGAACGATTTTGCTTCTCGAGAGCAGGGCCCGAGCAAGACAGAAGAGTTGTTGTTGGCCGACTGAGAATCCTACTTCACTTGCGATCGCGTCGAGTCCACCACGAGACTCTACAATGGACCATATGGTCGCTTTTGTGAGGGCGTTGATGAAAACCTCGTCGGCTTGGATGCGGTCTTCTGGGTCGAGATTATGCCGTATCGTACCGGAAAGCTTCAGAGGTTCTTGGGGGAGAGTGGTGAGTTGCGAGCGAACTTGCTGGCGAGAAAGTGTCGAGATATCAATGTCGTCAATGCAAATTGTGCCAGAGCGAAGCTCGAGTAGTCGTAAGAAGGATAAAAGAAGTGATGATTTTCCACTGTACAAGTTTAGCATTGGCTGAGATGGATTAAAATTATGCACATACCTTCCGGTCCTGCCACATAGGCAAACCTTCTGTCCAGGTTGGATGGTCAAAGACACGTCCTGAAGGACAGCCTCCTTGTCGTCACTGCTTTTTCTATTAGTTGGATAGATAGAAGACCGTAATCTCAGTAATCTCACCTGTAGGACGCGACAATGTTCTCCACCTCAATCTTGCCGTTTGATGGCCAGTCTGCTGGAGGAACTCCAGTCTCGTTGGGTTTGTTCTCGTCCGGTGTCTCCTTAGCAAACGCTTTCAATCTAGCAATGGCACCAAGAGAAGTCTCTAGCTGCGTCCACTGCTCGATCATTACAGTCAGGGTGATGTTGAAGGCGACTAAATTGACCAAAGCCAAAGCAATAGATCCTTGACTCGAAGCCCCTGAGACACGCAGAGCCAGAGACACCAAAAAGACAGCGACGCCAGCGACAAATAAGTTCAAAACAACTTGCAACCATCTCTGAATGCAAAACATGAGATAATACGGCCTTTGGGAAGTATTCAGGTGCTTCTGGTAATCGCGCATAAGACCCTCGGACCAACCAAAGGAGCGAACTGTCGCGAGACCGGCCAGGGTTTCCGTAAACTGAGTGTAAAGAGGTGCCTTCATTTCAATGTCGAGGAAACGCATTTGCCGCGAAGTGCGCAAGTAATATTTTTGGATCATGTACAGACATAGGATTGCGAACGGGATGAAGGCTGCAGCGTAGGAGGCACCGGATGACAGAACACCAATTTGAACAATGATCCTGAAAAATACTAGAAACCTCCAGTCAGGAATTGTTTGGTGTGAAATATAGCAATATACTTACGTTCAAGTGTGAGAATAAAGGCAAGAGGTAGATTCTGGTCGATCAATGTCATGTCTTGGCTAAATCTGCATTTTGAAGTTAGTCATGTAGAGTTTACTGCTCTATTTCCACGTACCGATTAAGAATTGAGCCACTGTCAGTGCTAGTGAAGAAATACAACGGAGCCCTGGAGAGAAGTCAATAGAAGATTCAACATGATATTATTAGCATTGCGCTTACCGGCAAGCCGTCTTGAGCAGCTTTCTGTGGAGATTTACAGATGAGATAGGGACACCGACGATAATGAAAAAGCTGTGAGACATCGTCAGCATGGAAACTAATATTCAGTTGGAAAATGGGAAACATTGCTGATAAACGTACCTTATGTCGAGTAATCCAAATAAAGCGGCACCGAAGACAAAACCAATATAACCCCCAAGATAGCCTTTAGAAGCAAGGTCGCCGCCATTTTCGGTCCAGAACTTCAGCATAACATCTTTAGTTTCATTTTGTTAGTTAAATATCCAGGGGGTGTGCTTCGGCTGATGAATACGTACTGGGCATCGCCTCTAACGCTGAGGTCATTGCGCTGATAAAAAAGCACACAGAAATGATCAGCCACCCGATGGACTGGATATAGATCTTGTAACATTCGATGTCACCAGTCTGTCTTCCAGAGTCCTTCGTGTCCTGTAATATCGGTAGCCCAGTCTCTGGTTCCGCAGGTTTCTGGACATCTACCGTCTGTACGCTGCTCTCGGTTTCAGATGACTTCTTGGACTTGCCCTTTCCAAGAACATCTACAAGTGACAGCTCAATTGATTTGTAAGTAACTTGGTTTTGGACAATTCGGCCTACTTCAAGCATCGTAATGTGACTCGCGGCTTGTAAAAAATGTGCTATGCTAGGTCAGCATCATTTTTCATCGCCTTTTAGACCTGGAGAGCCTACCGTTGTGTGTGGCCAACACGACAGTGATGTGCTTCTTTCGCAGCCATCCGCCAGCACCCAGGAGCCGATCAAATACGGCATTTGATGTCTTGTTATCAAGACCGCTGAAGATATCGTCAAGCACATAGATGTTCTTCTGGGCATAGAGGGCACGTGCTAAAGACTAGACAAACAGAAGTTGGTGAGCCAAGGTGAGTTTCGAATCTGATAATGAGTACTTACGACTCTTTGCTTTTGTCCGCCACTCAACGCGATACCACCAGAACCAACCAAGGTCAAATCTCCGGAAGGGAAATTGGAAAGAACATCTTCATCAAGAGCACATGCTCTTAAAACAGAAGTCATCAGTTGCTCGTTATAGGGACTTTGACCAACGATATTATCCCGGACCGTAGCATTTCGAAGCCATACATTCTGATCGCAATATGCAATAGTGTCGGAGCTCACACTCACGGCGCCAGACTTTATTACCATCTCGCCAATCATGGCCTTTAGCAGTGATGACTTTCCACAACCAATCTTACCCACGAGCATTGTCAAGGACCCTTTTGCCACTTTGAGGTCGATTCCATGCAGCAGCGTGACATCGTCGGCTGTTGCGAAAGTAGCGTTATCAATCGAGATGGCATGATAATCTTCGCTGTCAATGTTAGCCAATTCAATGTCATCATTAACGGACTTCTTAGTCCCTAAATCATCATTATTGACAATGAGGCCGGACTTTGAATCGGCTAATAGTGCATTTCTTTGGGCCGACGGTCTAGACCGGTCGTCCTTCTGCTCTCGGAGCTCCAGAAAAGCCTGGATTCTGCCAAAGCCGGCCGTGATGCCGGCCACTTGTGCCAGTGATACAAGAAGAAGTGACAGGGGTTGCGTAACAAGGCCTATAATGCTGATGGATGTGAAAGCCTCGGCGACGGTCATCCCATTTCCACCTTTCCAGTAGAGAGCTGGAAGGATAACAATCATGGGAGAGAATTGAGCAGCAATTGTAGCTATTCATGGTCAGTCTCCACAAGTCTTGAACAGGGAAAGAATGCTGAGACTTACAAAGATTGATGAGATAGGCGAGAAGCCATCTGTATTTTGCGGACACTTTCACTTCGTGGATGCGTAAGCCGTCGATAAGCTTGTAGGCAAAATCGACGAGACCCAACATTTTGATGCCCTTCATCTGGCTGAGCACCGTAGAGGTCTCGCCGATTCGTGCTTGGACAGCAGCGTTCCACGTAACAGTGGCTGGCTCCATCGCAGGCGAGATGATGCCGCTGCATATAATGCTCACTGATCACAGATGAGTATTCGGACATGCAAAGAACCATTCACTCTATGAAGAGAGGGAGAGATAAGACTTACCCACAGTTGGGATCAGAACCAACAGACTGGCATTCCCGACTTGCCGGTAGAGCAGATAAATTCCGATGGGGAGATCAACAAAGTTAGCCCAGATATCATGAAAGGATTCTCCCGCAGCAGTGATGACATCAATGTCAGTGCTCATTAACGTGACTGGTGCGTTGTCTTTGATCTCTATCGAGTTCAAATTTAGGGTTTTCTTGAAAATAAGACTCGACAACGCGCCACGATACATTGTCACCAACTGGTACGACAGATGTTTGCACCAAACCGCTGACAACGCCATACCGACATAGACGAGCGCCGTCGCACCAATCAGTCCGCTCGCAATCTTGACTGAGAGCTCCGTCTCGGGGCTTCCTACTGCAAGAATAACCGATTGGATAAGAAAAGGCTGAGCAAAGTTGAACGCGCTCTGTAGAAGTCGAGGTATCACGCCAGCAAGGGCAGGCCACTTGAACTCAGCCAAGGTGCAGACCAAAAGGCTGGGCTTCTCCTTCTTAGATTCTAACCAGCGCGTTAGTATCGAGGTTCATTATCTTCAGCTAGGTTCGAGCACTTGCCTTCTTTCCAAGCCCTCTCGAGGCGCTGCAAGAGATAGTCCGAGTCAAACTTGTCGCCCACAGGCTCCAGATGATCAATCTCCAAAATCTCACGGGAGCCCGCAAGCAGCAAGGGATTCAACCACCAGAACACACTTCGGCTAATGACGCCAGCTGATGTCTCCCTAACTGGTTTTCTCGCATCAGTGAAGTGCCCCTTGGGGATCTCCTCCAGGATCAGAAGGATGAATTTGGCAGCCATTGAGGCTGTGAAAACAGCAGCAATCTCCTGCATATTGTTTCGAATCCAAAAAGTTCTTCCCAATGCAATGTCCAAAATCAGGCTCAAGATAAGATAGGTATTCAGCATAAGAGATGGTCTAGGCGATTTCAGGTGCTCAAAGTAGCTGAGGGCCAGTATCGCGATGCTCTCCACAAGCGCGACAGCTGGTTGAGCAATTGACGTCTTTGTCCGGGGCGCAGAGCCGGTGGACCACAGGGGAATGAGGGCGACCTGGAGGCATGCGAAAATGGCGATGGCGATCTGGAATTAATTAGCTCATCTCTGACTTGTCGCATAGCATCACGAATAAGTTGATTGGGGTGCTGTTCTAGTTGAGGCGTCTCACCAACTTTGCCCACAGGAGTGGCCCAGCCCTAACACAGGACTCATTTTTCCAGATGGCAAACACCCGGAAAGGTGCCAGAAGGATAAACAATGCAGTTGGGAGAAGGGATAGGATGCTTTGCTCAAAGAGAAGCGTGAAGTCAAACACCCCCGAAAAATGAGGTCCAAACTGGTCGTCCATGCTTATGACAGACCACACGGCTCTAACAGCCCATAGAGACAGATTCTTTGAGAATGCAACTAAACGAAAGATGGGAGAAACAATTAAAAGAAGATTGATTGTTCGATGCCGCGGTCGTTGACAATTGATTAAAGGAGCCGCGCCAAGTTTAGGAAATAAGAAATGAGGCTTCCATCATCTTCCAACGCCTCCTTAGATCCTTAGAGGGTACCGTTGCCTTAGGCCACAGGTTATGACTCCTTCCAGCGACAGGGGTTGGCGTGGCGATGACGGCTGAAGATCAATGTCCGAGAGGTTGCCAAAAGAGCACAAGTAGCCTCCACGCACGGGCCTTGCGAAAACCATCCGGGTAGACTGGTTGATCTCATGACCCCGGATTTCAACAATGAGATCAGTGAGTTTCATCAACGCCAATTCACGTATCACGGGCTAATCCCCGCTAAGCAATCACCACGAGAAAGGCCGGGTTCTTCACCCTCGTGTATTATTTGGTCATCTGTGTGCTGTCCACCTCATTGTCTCCCTTGCTGAAGTTATTGGAAACTACTTACTTAGCACCTTGGCACTCAAGGTCCATGTTCTGCACAGCCCCGCGGCCTGAAGCTAACATATCCAGATCCTCTAATTATCTAATTTATCACGTACAATCCTTCCATCTGAAACCAAGACCTAACTAAGTATAAGACTCTTCAATACTGTCAAAAATTGGCTACGTGAAAGTTATCTAGATATTCTTAGTTTTAGAAACCAAGTATCACCGACCAATCTGTCAGATAACATCTAAATACCAAAGTGAACGTACGGCACCCAATAAAGCGGCAACTCATCGCACGACATTATATCCCTGGGATTTCTCACCTCTCCTTCGCTGGCTTTCAATTCTCTGGTTGTGGTGGAATTTTGAGAGACCTTTTGCAATCCTTCACCGCGTTTAAAGCCTCCTCTTTCTTCATTCTCGGTAATCCACCGGGAACGCAGACTCCTACAAGCATGGTGAAGTCCCTCGCCAATAGACCGATGGTTTATACCCTCCAGCCGTAGTTGCTCATAGGTTCTCCTTGCAATTTCAACGCATGACTTGTCATTCACCTCCCAAAGAGTGCCAATAACATGCTGGAACCCAGCAAGCTGGCAAGCTGCGATCAGGTGAAGCCCTTCATCCATCAAGTCGCTGTTCTTCATTCGCCCAGTGCTGCAAGCCGAGAGGTATGCAACAAACGGCTTCCGGGCGTAAAGATTTCTCTGCAGGAGGCTTGCAACTGTTATCTTCCCATCTTCTAGTACTATCGCGCTGTTTGAAGGATCCGAGGGGTCTGTTTCTCCGTGGCCTGCGAAATGAAAGATCTCACAGTCCCTCAGAGATGAGAGAATATCATCTACATTTGGCTGTGGCATACATACTTGAAAATCTAAAGAGGCGCAAATCCCTTTTAGCTCATTTACTTCTTGTGACGCAAAGGGCAGCGTTGTCTGCCCGGGCGTATTCTGCATGCCGACGAGGACTGCTTTCTCTGGCAATCCTGGCATCTCGACTTTGAGCTGGTTCTCGTGGAAATGGAACAGGGCTTTGATCGAGGAACTGTAATTTGACACAACCCGATCCAAGACCGTATTGGAGCCGGAGTCATGGTATCCTGCCGCATGTATTGGAAATTTAGCAAGAGGTCCAGTTGGAATCCACCATATCCGGGGCCAGTTGGCAGCAGGAGACTGAGTGAAGTTAATAAAATCAAGCACCGGCCCTGCAATTGTGTCCCATAACCACTCGAGCAACTGTGTAGTGACTGAGATTGAATCTAACGTGGCAGCATAGTGTTTAATGTCTCCCTCGTGTAGATCATGCAGCTGCAGCAGCCTTAGTCCGTGTCGCTCCACGATGAGCGCATCGCAGCGGTATCTGCTAACATTGATAATGACAACCGGTCCGAGAATTGCGGCGCGCTTCATCTCATCCTCATTTGGAGCCAGGAGAAATCTTTCAAAGCCAGGATGGCTCCGGATGGTTTCAATGACCTGTTCTAATTTCAGACCTGTGTTGTAACGCTGATCGATCTCATGTGATGCGGCCATCGAGAAGTCTGGATGGCTATCTTGAGAGGGTGATACAGCCAATTTTGCGAGCTCATCATTGTACCGAAAGAACTCATAGGCTAATTCGGGATGTAATCCTCGAAGTTCTGATATGTCAAGTCGCATGCCGTTCAATGAGTCGGCAATGATTCCGCGACCAAGTTCTTGAAGCCGAATTGCTTCGTATACCGACTTTCCAGCGTTCAGAGCAATAGCTGCTGCGTCCGAGGATAAGCCAACAATAGCCGCAATACGGCGCTGCTTGTCTGAATTTTCAAGAAAGCGTTGGGTGATTTTGGGGATCAGAGATGTTGTCGTGTATGCAGCTTCATATGCTCGAGTCCAATCTTCAGCTTGGCCGTATATTAACAGCAAGAAACTACTTCCATGTATGCGATCAAGAACAGGAGAAGCAGAGGAATCAAGAGCTTTCTGGTACATCTGGGTAGCGTAATTGAGATCTTCTGTATCATCTCTTTCTTGGTACCGGTATACATAAGTCGAAGCTAGATTATGGAGGAGCTGAGCTCGAGTAGGATCATTTGCCGAAGTGATCCCTAAAGCCTCTTGACCAATTTCAATAGCATGGTCAAGATCAATCAGAGCCTTTCCTTGTCGAAATCGGTATATATAATTAGCAGCGAGACCTTGCAGTCGCCGTGCTCGATCTGGGTCATCTGCTATACTCTTTTCTAGAGCGCTCTTATAAAGTGTAATTGAATATTTAAGGTTTTCTGGAAGCTTTAATCGTCTGAAACGGTCTCTATAGCCGATAGCAAGAGTGGTAAGTCGCTTGGATTGATTTAGATCATCTGCTAGAGTGTAATCTAGAGCCTCCTGGCCAAGTTGTATGGAATTGTTGAGATCTTCTAGAACTCCCAATTGTCGAAATTTCGTTCCATAGTTAGCCGCAAGGCAGTGGAGTCGATAAGATCGGCTTGGATCATCTGTAGGGGTTTGAGCTAGAGCAGCTCTACTAAGCTCAATGGAATAATTAAGATCTCGCAAAGCTCCCAGTCGTCGAAACCGACTTAGATAACTGAGAGAAAGACTCTCAAGCATTCGAGCTCTATATACGTCATCTGGAGGGGTACGTTGTAGAGACTCCCGGCCAAGTTGGATTGAATAGTCGAGATCCGCTGGAGCTCCTTGCCGCTGGTATCTCTCCCTATAGCAGCCAGAAAGATTATGAAGTGGCCAGGTTCGATATTCGCTATTTGACGGAGTTCCTTTGAGAGCTTGGTGGTTAAGTTGAATAGCATAGTTGAGATCCTCTAAATCCCCTCGTTTTCGGAATCGATTCAAATAGCCAACAGCGAGATTAAATTGTTGCCCAGGTCGGATTGGATCATCTGGGGAGGTGCTATCTAGAGCTTTCTGGAATTCGTGAATTGAGGCATTGATGGCTCTGATATCCCCTGTGCGCTGGTATTCGAGATCATACTGCACCCCGATATCGTTGCAGCCCGATGCTTGGACTGGGAGAATTTGCGAGGTCATCTCCGACATCACCTCCTCTTGTTCGTCTTCAACTTGAGCAACGATATTACAACAACAGGCAGTTCTTGAGCGACTATACAGTGGATTCTACACTGCAAGCAAGGCGTGTTATAGGCAGAATTATGGTATGATGTAGCTTCTGAGGGGTTTCTGTGTTGACCCAGAAATCCGCCTGACACCTCTCGCCAAGCCATTACACAAATGTGTGCTTACCTGTGGGCTACGTCGTATCAGGATTGCCTCGCATGACGCTTGTTGGTGGGTGCTCGCCTTTTTTGGCTTCGGACCTTTAGTCTTCATTAGAGTCGGTTGAAGCAAATTATAGTATGTTGAAGTTTAAGGGATGAAATGCCCAAAACAGGTGTTTATTCAGCAATTACACAGTCTCCGTGACCTTATTTCTCAAGAGGGGCTGGCATATTTTCCCTGGTTTTTGTAGAAGCGAACTGATCCTGCTCAGAGGTTCTGTAGAGGCGCCAAGACTGCCACCCTGTTTCGCATCTAAGCCGAGGAAACTCCACTAACAGCATATTCTACCGTGGGAATATGTCAACAACCGCCCGAATTTGGCACAATAACAGGGCAAGAAACTACAACCTGGACATTGAATATCATACGACCGAATCATTCCCCCCCACCCTGATCTGTTTTGAGCTTAACATTACGTTCATATACACCGCTTTCCACGTCCCCCAAATCGCAATTGTGTCTGATAGCTTTCTCTGACTCTCAGCCTGAATAAGTACATACAGGAGTCACTTGACAACAACCCAGGTCTTGTTTTACCTTGGATCATGTTCCCTATTTTAGGCTCATAAAGGAGACAAACACATCCAACGTTAAGACTCCGTATGGGTTATAAGAGACAATTTCTATGCTACTGGGTTTAGTGCGAGGACAACAATTCCGGCCTGTGGCTCGTCACATTAGCCACCCAATATGTCAAGACAAGTCGTAAAGCACCCCTTATACCTGGCGCATCAAACATGAGCGTTTATTATTGTCAAGGCAAATCCATGGTGCCCAGAGGACAGTTATTATTGAACGGCCAATGGGGTATGCGCCTAACGCCCAGTAGGCATCGACATCAATGTGCTATGCCGTGTGTGCAATACCACAGCCGGCGGCATACCTGATTTGAGGGGAGAGGTCCATAGGCCACATTCGATGTGGGCTTCCTGCATAAGTTCTTAACTTTTGGTTTCTCCGCTAAACATGCAGCAACTAGTCTTACGGTGGCAACGAATGGAGCCCAAGTTCCAACCAATACCAGAAATGCGCTCAGCTCCCCTTATCAAGGAGGGACACTCAACTAGACTCTCCGTGTGCTAAGCACCAACCCATAGCTACGGGTTCAATAATTTGTTTACGGATCAAGAGCGAGTTTTGGTTCCTTGAACAGCTACAATCACAAGCGGAGGTCTAGCTATAAGATAACATCGCGCTGTTGATCGGCTCCTATGAAGCGACTGTATTGCGGGGCCCAAGGAAAGACCCCCAAGTTCCAACCAACCAACATGATCAACCACTCACAACCACAACATATACCCACCAAGCAACCGGAAGCCAGGCCCCATTCATAGCATGAGACACGTGTTGGCGGACACCGCCACACTTCACGAGCTCCCATCTTCTACCAAGCAAGACAGCTCATCCTCAGTTTCAGTGACCTCCACGCCAGATTTGACTGCAAGGGAAGCAACACACAACATGGAGCAGGTCCAGACCAAATCAGCGCCGACGACGCTTTTGGCTCTGCCACTGGAAATCCAGTCCCAAATCTGTTCATATCTCACCGCATCTTACGGCAAGCCAAACATTCAAGCCGTCTTACGAACATGTAAACAACTCTACGAGGTAGCACTCCCGCTCTCCGTCAGCGTTTTCCGAAACACAGCACCCTACCCCAAAGACCAAGGAGTTTGCTCCCGGGCTCGAAATCTACAATTCCTCCACTACATTCTTGTTTCTAAACCTTGGCTTGCCAAACACGTTAACACTCTGATCACCGGCCGCTTCACGAGCGATGGCTCGGTCGACGATGACGGTGACAATGAGGACCAAAGAACAATTTCAGATAATGATCTTGCCATCTACCGGCACCTTATTGAGTTCTCCGTCGGCGAATTCTCTGCTCTTGGCCCACCTCTTGAGCAAGGTGTGCCGTGGAGTGCCGGATGGGTAAGAGACCTGACCAGCAGCTCCGATGCACAATTTGCTCTAATTCTGCTCACCTGTCCAAACATCCGAACCATCCTTATGGAGATTTGCCTCTATGGGATATATACTACTCACCTTTTGATCCTCCTTCGCCAGTGCTGGAATGGTCTGACCGACGGAACATTCCCCAACACCATTCCCCTCTCAAATCTTCAAGATTTCTTTCAGGAAGCCGCGAAGTCATCCTCAAACGCCAAGTTTTTCTCTCCTGAAGCATCGATGGTCTTCTGGTCTCCTCGATTGAAAGTCTACGAGTGTATCGGGATGGAAGCATCGGAGGAAGCAATAAAACACTTTTCATTTGCTCCTCGTAGATCTTCTTCAGTTGAGGAGATCACTCTGTATCAAAGTATTTTTGAAGCAGGTGCTCTTTTCAGTATGCTTGGCGCTTGCAAGGCACTCAAGAGATTCGAGGTCACATGTTACAGGAACACCGCGACCGATCTTCTAGACGCGGCAGCAGCTAGAGATGTTCTTGATGCTGTATTGCCTCATGCCAATACGCTTGAACACCTCTCTGTCAATTTACGAGAGGTTTGGCGCAACGATTCGGTATTGAAAGCTACACCCGAGAGACTCTATATGGGGACCAGGCTTCGAGAAATGTATGCGTTGAAGACACTTACAGCGGGAATGCAGGCCCTCACAGGAATGCTTGCTTATAGTTCTACATGTGACGACATGCCACTCAGATTCGAAGAAGCACCTCGACTTATTGATTGCCTCCCCGAAAATCTCGAGTCTCTCACGATTCATGCATGTGGGCCACAGATATCAGATCAGTTGGAAGAGTTAGTCGAGATAATAGCGCAGGGCGACCGCTTCAAGAAGCTCAACTATGTTGTCTTGCTGTACCATGCTTGGAAAGTCGACACCAAAGGAATTTCTGCCCATTTCAATGAGATGTGGGAATCTGTTCGGGACAAACTCGCCGAGAAAAACAGGTTTCTTCTCGTGCATGCCGGTCTTCAATGCGAGCAAGCGTTCCTGCACGACGTGAACTCAGTTTGGGCTGATAACTCTGATCGGCCGGGCGACATGATGTCCCGAATTTATGCCCCAAATTTCCGCAGGGTCTTCCTGCAACGGCGAATGAACCCTGAGTAAGCAGATTTTGAGTATTTGCCTCCTTATGATCCTTATGATCCTGTTCTGCTTGCGTCTTGATTTCGGCGGATGATAACCTCAAGCCACGAGTTAAGCAGTCATAGCTTGGTCTTTAACCCAAAGCTGCGCATTTTTTGCAAACGCCCGTGAAACATCTGACTTTGTAAGGGCAAGGTTGTACTTTATTGTGAGTATTCTAGGGGCTGATATCTGTGAGGAGTGTAGGGGGACAGTGCTGAAGATCGGTTAGTGAGGGCATTGGTATTGATTTTAGAGTAGCCGGAAGAGTCGCCAAGAAAGTAAGAGAATGCCCGGATACGAGAGGATATGAGTGAATTGAGAAGCAGCTAGATTCAATATTACTAACATCGCTGTCGATCCAGCCCCTACCATCATTCATTTGCCATTTCCCTCTGCGCACGTACTAACTTCTACGATAAAGGATTCGAGGAATCGCGCTCTGTTATGGTCTTATGGAACTGCGATGCACTTGTCTCATTAGATTGGTGACGCGCCAAGCGCCAGCCTTAAGCCCAAGTGTTCTATAATGCAACAACTCAGTTGGCCTTCTTGAGCTGGAGTTAAAATGAAATGGACCTTGTTGACTTTTCATTTGTGCTAACTGTTCCTTAATGTCTTTAGGCCGACGGACTCGAAAGAAAAGGAAGAGTAGCCAGGCACAGATTGAGCCGGTACAATGCTGACAGATGGGTTTTTATTTAATAACATTGTCCAAGTTTGTGTGAGGCGGAGTCTGGAGAAGCGTGGAACAAGCAATGGCATGTCAGAGGAAAGCTGGACCTGCCATGAAGTTGCGGGTCTGTTCATACCTACTGATATGTTACAGCAGCTATGCAAAAGCCTCCTCCGTCAGCCATCTTCCCGCCTCTCTAAACCATTTCTCTGCCAATGGCTTTGTAACCTCGGCTTGCTGACCTCTCTTCAACCACCAGTGAGTGAAGCTGTGCTCTGCACCCGTCACCATTCTCCATCTCAACTTCCCACCGTCCCTCTCAAATGCCACGTTTTCTACACCGGTGACTTTCATTTCTCCCGCTAACCGAATCATCATCCGCCGCGCTTCATCGTTGAGCATATCATACTCCGCACCAATCGCAAAGATCCATTCCGGTAGCTCGCTCCTCTTCGCATATAGCACGCTAAGACGAGGGTCTCTCTGATCTGTACCTGTCGGCAAGTACACATTATTGAAGATAGGCGCCAGGGCAGCGAGGCCGTCAACTTCTTTGTCGTGTCTATAAGGCCGAGAGGCCAACTTGTACTCGTAATTGACACTCCAGTCTACTGGAGCATACCATGGTACTGCAGCCTTCACTTTGCCCTGCAGACTTGGAGACTGGCACGCCGATAATGCCAGGTTGCCGCCCGCGCTGAAACCTCCGATGGCGATGCGAGAATGGTCAATAGGAAGGCTGTCGTCCTGTAGAATCTCTTCTACTACTGCAACGACATCCTGAGTGGGCGTCGGAAACGTCGCCCTCGGTGAGAGGGAGTATTGAACACTAACAACGAGGAAATTGAATTCCCGACACATGAAGGCGCAAAACTCATCATCATATGCTGGTGCGCCAAAGGCATATCCTCCTCCGTGGACATTAATGTACACAGGGTGTGATTGCCCAGGCTTGTGAGAGCTTGGGAAGAAGAAGCGATGTTTGAGCTTAGGTCTACTAGGGTAGGACTTTGAATAAATCGGCTTGCCACTTGGTCTGGCCGCGAGGCCGAGAGTTTCACCTGTCTTCATCAGTTGCCAACGGATGGCAAGCAGGACTTTGATGACATAGATAACGAATACGTATAGACAACGTGTTGACCAATGAATGGGCGCCCACAATAGGAGCGGAGGAGAGGTTTCCTCCATCGGAAGAGATGTTGTTTTTGTCAAGCTGGTGAATCGATATGTGCTCCGTTCTGGCTAAGCGGATGAAGACTGCATATAGGTACGGGAATTTTGTCGATGGTCTCCAATTTCCCCCTCTTTCTTCATAGTGGGGCTTGATATCACATGATTCCCATGGTATCTCCAGGATAATGCCCTGTTGTGGGGGCCTGATACTGTATGTTGTCAGACTTCTCTCGGTCGAGTACGAAGGTGTTAGTCAGGAGTCAGACTTATGTTCATATTACTCAAAGCTAACTTGATGTATTTCAGTTTATTTTTCTTTATACAGAGAACAATTTGCGAAAATAAAACGTGTTCTTATTCTTCTAAGACTATCTTCGTTCTAGTTCAGGCATAAAAGCATAAAAAGGTGAAATTAACATTTGTAGTCTTCGTACACGATTGATCTATAGGGGAGGCAAGAAGGTCAGGGTTTCGCCTTTGATGACTAGGAGGTTGGGGTGTACTCGGTTACCTAGGCAGCGGTTACAAGTCACGATTGTGCTTACACTTGGAAACTAAACCAAGAGTAGACGTGTTATTAACTACTCAGCTTGGCTAGGTCGATGGTATTCATTTAAGGGTTTACATACTTTTGCGTTTCTTTATAGCTTATTAGGTAGCTAGCTATGTGATTTTACCTTGAATGACTGTTATTCGTGATCCCTATTGATGCCCTGGAATACGGCTCTTGGTGATCCCCTGTTAATTGGTCGAGGTATTTTTTTTTCCCGGATAGTATGAGGAGCGTTCTCAGTGCTGGGGGAGCAGGTCCTGTCAATACTCGTACTCTCGTTCTAGATCACTTCTGTATCCCACTTGGCACTCCGCTCGAGTCCGCTCGATCCCGCTCGATCCCGCTTGTGTTCACTTATATCCGCTTATCTTGGTAATGCTGACCATTCTGAGACTCTCCACCATCCTGGCGGCCGCCCTTGGGATGATTCTGCCACATTAGCATTCTCCTGACGGCGAGGCTTACTGGCTGATCTTAGTTTGGAACCTGCGAGTCAGACGCAGCACTGTTTGTAGGATTGCCCACAAATCTTACTTGATGCCTCCATTACCAAATGAGCTTCTCAGTGCATCCTTGCCAGAGTCGCAATACTACTTGAAGCCGGTTGGAATCGTCAGCCCATCCAAAACCGGAAAAATCCTTTTGAATAAGCGATGTATCCAGGTCATCGATTGATAGCCCGTTCTATAATAAAACTCTGAGGAGGCCCGACTCAGGTAATGGATTCTCCCCAAATCGTACTCACGCATATACTAACGCGCGACTACAAACCACAGTCTTTACCCAACAGGCTGAGCGCCGGTCACCTCAGTGGCAAAGCTTTGCGCAATGGCGCAAGAGATAGCCGACCAACCCACTGCGTGGGGGATTCGTTCATTAAATAATCTGTACCAAGCATTTTCGCCTTACCTATGGACAGAACCATGCTAATCTATCATGTAGAGAGCTTTATGCAGAGGCAAGATACCTTTGTGGTCAATATCGATGCAACGCGGTCACCTGTCGCCTTGGTATCAGCCAAGATTTCTTCTCACCAGCTGGCACCGAGGTATTTAGGGCTAATTTCCTACGAGCGGTACATGCGGTCACCTTTGAGCACGGTATTCTTAGAGCCACGCTGAGGGAGAATTTAGCGCTTCAGTCGTATTGGGCTGCAGCAAATGACGTCAACTTATCAGACCATGTTGAGTGGTTGAATTACAGCGTTCACGCGGAAGACTATGAAGTCATTCTACACTCACACCGAGAGAAACTCGTCGACACGGAGTTTACTGATACAGAGACCCAACCCGGCTGGAGAGTCACCATACTTTCATCGCAAGAGGTTGGAGTACTTGACATCATATTTACATACACTCATACCATCGCTGATGGGAAGGGGGGGCTGGTGTTCATTAAGTCCTTGCTGAAGCATCTCCAGAGAGATCACCCCCTACCGTCCAACGAGATACTGCTGCTACCACCGTCACCACATCAGCTGTGCGATTTCCCTCTGACGCCCGGTTTCGTGCTATCAACTTTATGGAAAGAGCTCAGGCCGGATATTTTTCGGTTTTCTCAAAATTCTCATGTTGGCTGGCTGCCCACTAGTGCCAAGGCACTTCCTACCAGATTGAAGTCATTCAGCATCGAATCTCATTCACTGGAGTATATCCTTCGATGCTGTCGACAAAATTCCACAACTCTCACCGGGCTTGTGCATGCTCTGGTATTTAAGAGCCTCATCACTCTCCTCTCGATTGATCAGGCGCGAGCTATGACCGCCGTCACTACGATAGATTTGCGCCGTTTCATGCCGAAGAATGCTTCCAACTTTCCTGATTTTGATCCGGCAAATACTATGGGGAATTTTAGCTCAGGAATGGAGCATCCTTTCGATGAGAACCTCGTGCGACAACTGCGGGAACTAGCGAAAGACCCCGAGACGAATGGTCTGGAACAGGCCATATGGAGCATTGCTCGGCGGATTCGCCTTGAGATCGAGCAAAAGCTTTCACAGGGGCTATCAAATGACATCACCGGCTTGATGAAGTTTGTAAGCGACTGGCGAGCCGAGGCCTCAAAAAAGACAGCCCGTCCAAGGGAACATTCTTGGCTGATTTCCAATCTCGGAGTACTTTCAGCTGATGGCTCCGAATCGATGACAGGCGGCGAGGGCCCTCACTGGCATTTACAGGATGCCACTTTTTCGCTGAGCTCCGAAGCGGTTGGTGCGCCTTTCCGCATCAGCCTGCTCACTGTGCGCGGGAAGGCCTTGAATATCGAAATTAGTTGGCAGGATGGTACTCCTAAGGAGATGGCAGAGCGAATCTTGGAAGACATTCAGACCTTCCTTTTAGGCTTGGCAGCTCACGAAGGGGTTGACGTCAAAACTTCAGCTTAACCCGAAAAGATTCAGACCCCGTAAATCGTGAGCTCACAATTTTGGAACGTGTCTTTCACAACTAATATTATAGATTAATTACAATATTAAAGTAATTATGGAGTTTCATGAATAAAATTCAAAACCCTTCCATTATTACACACTTTAAGAACGCACCTCTTCATAATTCCCTTCTGCGCGAGCCCTGATTTCCAATAAGTGCTACAGGGTAGGTCGGTCATCAATTGAGACTCGGATTCTTATGAATTGGCTGTGAATTCGATAGGAAGAAATATCTGCAAGGGCATACTGCTGGTTTTTCTCCTATTTTTCAAATTAAATGAGAAGACTTTTACGAAGAGTCTCGAGGAATTGTAGCTTATGGAATGGCACCGAAGTCTTCGCGACAATAGGTGGGCTTTACACTCGGGAATTATCCCTTGTCCCTCTCTGGTCGGCCCGGCCTACTTCCTCTTCCCGTCTTTAGACTGAGGCTAGGATCTGCTTCAGCCTCTCATCTTCCGGAGTCCGGGTCAGTATTGCGTGGAAGCTTGGGGCCAGGGAAAAAGACTACCGATCGCATCGGCCGCGCTCCCCCGCGTCGGATCCGTGGTTTGGTATTTATCTCACTCACCTGCAGATGGGATATATGAGCTTTCTTGAGGGTGTAGAGCATGTATTCTACCGCAAAGCGATCGGCCAGGAACGCGTGTAAGAGGAAAACTAATACAAGACCTCCAATATTTGCGCGGTGACCTCTATTCTACTTCATTGTGTCACTCAGTCCGTTTGCCGGCTTCCGAAATAAACAACAAAGCACTCATTGCCGGGCCCCTGTAACGCTTTGACAAGATCTGTGACAGTAGCGATGCGACCTCTGCTGAAGGGATCAGCCTTCATTACGGGCGCTGCCAGCGGTACGTAGCTCCATCATTCCCGGCGACGATGATCGCAGAATAAACTAGTGGTCTCATGTAAGATGAACAGGAATTGGCCAGCATACCGCTGCAGCATTTGCCCGCCACGGCGTCACGCGGCTGGCCATCGCCGACATCCACAAAGATAATCTTGCAGCGACACGTGAGACTTTTCAGAAGCAGTTCCCCAAGATCGAGATCCTCCCCATTCACCTAGATGTACGGAGCACCGCCCAAGTTCAGAGCGCGATTGCTGAGACGGTGAGAGCGTTTGGGCGTCTCGACGTAGCAGTAAACAATGCCGGAATTGGGGGGAGTGGCCGATTGACTCACGAGATTGAGGAAGAAGAAATCATGAGAATACTGGATGTCAACCTGAACGGTGTCTACCGGTGCCAAAAGGAAGAATTGGCCGTTATGGTCAAGCAGGAGTATGTGGCACCCATCTTCTCTCTATTTGAACCGGTTCAGACGGAAAAGTGGAAGTGCTAAACGATGAAACCTCACAGAGATCTAGGTCCGAGGGAAGGCCGCGGGCGGATCATCAACGTCGCATCCATGTACGGCATCGTGGCGCCCTACCACGGAATGGCACACACGGCGTATACGACGGCAAAGCACGGTAAGTGATTGGACTTCTTTCCTGATTCATTTATTTTTCCATTCGATTGAGTGCCGAGAGGCAACTCAACCCTGCCCCATTGTCTCGCCACCCAATTCCGTTCCCTCAACCCCATGACCCTGTTCACGGCCCTTCTGACAACTGCCGCGCGTGTAGCCGTCGTCGGCCTGACCAGAGGTGACGCGAATGCCTACGCAGGATTCGGTATCCGCATCAACGCCATTGCTCCGGGATTCGTGGAGACGCCGCTCGTGCAATCGACCATGGAACAGAGCAAAGATGCACCCCTGGCCCGCGAGGTGCGCCGCTCAGCCTTGGGCCGGATCGGGAAGATGGAAGAGATTGGTGATGCCATTGTCTGGCTCGCGTCACCGATGAACAGCTACATGCAGGGCGCGGTCCAGATAGTTGACGGCGGCCTTACGTCTGCTTGAGTTGGCCTCTCGCAGCAACCCGAGATCCTCCCAACCCAGAGCGACGGGCCGCCGGGGTGAAGGGCTCCTCGTGTCGGTCAGCACGCAAATTCCACTTCACTCAGCTGAGGCGGAAGCTGGGTCGCGATCGTATGATGAATTAGGATTAGCATCCTCTATATATTTACGGCAGCCAAAGAGCATTGTGGAATTACACGGCAAACGCAACCCCTGTAAATGACCCAACACCGCAGTGACACTCCGATCCTTCTCGCAACGACCCATGATCCGTCTGCGATAATACATAGGAATACAACATGCCGTTTCAGGGGACATTTCAAGCTTCTGGATTCATCCAAAGGCCCGCAATATGCCTCGAATATATCGCAGGACATCGCCGGTCTGTCCTCGCCTTGCATGGACTCCACTCATCGCAATCCTTGGGTTGATTTAATACATTTGAATAAAATGCCGTCGATCCCTCCTTCATGGGCATCGACACCTGGGGGACTTTCTGTTTGTTCTTTGTAGTGCGTATGTTGTAACCCCCGATAGACCCTTGGTCTCTCGCCCTCGCCCTCGCCCCCTGGTTCACGTATCGCGAGCGAGTGACGATCGACGCCATGGACCAATACCCGGATTCAATGGATACGGAGACGTATCTACGACAGCTTTTCCCTCGTCTGGAATGGTCGGAGCGGCACCTGCGAATGTCCGCCTCGAGCGCGGTCATGATTGTGACGACGACGATTTGGGCCGTGATGCGCATCGTCTCCCGACGCATTGGCAAATTCAGATTCTACTCGGAGGACTACATCTATTTCTTGGGCCAACTGTTCTTTTACGGTGCCGCTGGCTGTGCCATTGCCGGTAAGCAATGAATTCGAATCATCACGCAGGGGTGAAGACGGTGGACAGGCGATGATATGGAAGACTTGACCAATGGCTCTATGAATATGTTTTTGATTGTTTTCTCGCTCTTCCAGTTGTTGCCGTCGGTCCGCCCACAGGCCTAAGCATGATCAGCGTCAAATACCAAATCATGCTTCCACTGCGACTTTGTTACGCCGCCACCCTCCTTTGCGTCAAAACCAGCATCCTCCTCCTAGTCAAGCGCATCTTCGCCCAGGGCTCGCGCTTCGTCGGTCAGCTCTGCTGGTTTGCCCTCGCCCTTTCAGCCTGCTGGGCCATCTACGCCGGCCTCATCGAGTTCCTGTGGTGCTCACCGGTCCGCAGCGCCTGGGATTCGACCGTCAAGGCCCCGGAGAAGCATTGCATCGACAAGAAGGTCGCATACGGCCTTATCCCAATCATCGATATCCCCATTGAGATACTCATCTTGCTCATCCCGCTGCAGTCGATATTGAAGCTCCAGGTCAAAACGCCACACAAGATTGGACTTCTCTGCATGTTTTGCGCCGGGATCATGTAAGTGACAGCAGATGTAATAGGAAGATAGGCTAAGAAGCTGATAGGTTACAGAACAATCGCTTTATCCAGCCTCTATCTCTACTACATCATGACCGACTTCCACAAATCCTACTTTGTTTGCATCATCCACGCTGGGATAGCCCAGATGGTCGCCTCCAGCACTGCGCTGCAGCCGCTGTTCAACAAGACCGCCGTTCGGTTCTTCAGCATGGTCACGGGACATAGCGGGCACAGCAAGAGCAACAAGTCCGGGGTCGAGAACTCGTCGCAAGGGCCGCATGACAGGAGGAGCGTGAGAAACACGGTGCGAATGTCCCGGAATCCATTAGGAAATCATTCGGGGTTGAGGGAGCACCCGCATCTTACGACCGAGAGCGAGGAATATCTCGCCATGACTTCTTCCGATACATGGGGACATCCAAAGGATAATCGAGATGCTGTGTAATGGCATTCCCCCCTATGGCTTTCTTAATGATAATATTGAATGATCGATGATGCGTTTATTTTTCCTGCATTGCTGCCTCCAGGCACGAAAATGTGAAAACATGCCAGTGAGGCTCATCTTCCTCCCTCCATCTTATCTTGTGCCGCCAACTACCATATTTGCCCTGGAAAGGCTCGTCCCGGCAATCTGGAAATGGCTAATGCGGCCTATGATTTCTCCCAAGCGGTTGGTTCAGAGACAAGTTTCTAGTCATGTCTCGGCTATCCGCGACCAATAGAATGGTGGTGCTACTTGTCTCAAAGCCGCCAATGCATGCCATCACAAACCAGAATAACACCGACAAATGTGATCATTAGAGATGTGCAACGGTGGGATAATTCGGGAGGCCGGCAAATCCTTCATCACGACCTAAGGCTATGGGTGGGTTACGTGCCGTCGACACCGCTGTCGAAGGAGTTGTCTCAGTGGGAACACCGAGATTGGGTGGGAGAGTTCGGAAGCTGTCCAATCGTGTATTCAGCCCTATTCGATGTCGCCGCCGGAGGTGGTCCGAGTTTTCAGCCTGCCTTCTTTTGTGGTCAAGGGCCCCAGCCTATAGTTTGCCGCCGGATCTATAAAACGGCAAAGTGGTCCGTTCTGTGGGACCGATGCTTGACAAGGGCTTGGGGTGTCTCGAATATCACGTCACGATAATGGAAATGAAGAATGTTTCCATATGTTGCTCGATTTGAATCCCCAGATAAGCTAAGCAGTAGACAGGAATGAGAATTGGGAACTTTCAACTGGGGAATAGCATAACGACATAGCACGTGGAATGGTGATCATGAAGTAGCGCTTGGAACTGAGACAACTTGATCAACAAATGGTAGAAGCCCTTCCATCGCAACAATATAAAAGAGATTCAGTCTACCAATTTATGAACCTTTTTCGGCAGAGCAACTCATTAGTTACAACCGCTCCCTCAATCATAAAGTTTCTCTAACCATCCAGATCTTCCTTCGTTCAACTATCTCTCCAATATATTCTATCTTTAACCATGAAGTTCACAACCGCCACTCTCACTGTTGCTGCCCTTGTGGCCAGCGCCGCTGCGTTTCCCGTGGCGCACAATGGATCTACCATAGCGCACAATAGGGCCGCCAACCACACAGTCACTAAGACTGTCCGGCTCGAAGCAGGTAGCCCCAAGCCAGTTACAACTCCCTCGGCCGCGAACGATAAGCTGCTCAAATTGATCATCGAAAAACTTGAATCGGCAGAGGCTGGTGCTATCCGAAAGCGCAAGCTGGATGCTATTGAGAACAGTCTGAGCTCTGACGATGCCAAGAAGCTTGGCGCCCGTCAGATCGAGGATCTCGTTGGTCTCCTCTCCGGGCTCGGTGACTCTGGTCTCGAGGGGTTACTGGGTGGCGATAGTGGTGCGGATGCTCTAGGCGGCCTCGAAGGCTTGACCGGCGGCGGCTCTGATCCCGGCTCCGATGTCACTGGCGGCCTGGAAGGCCTTGATAGTTCTCTTGGAGGGTTGACTGGAGGCCCTGGAGGAGAAGGCGGCGATCTGGGAGGGCTGACTGACAGCCTTGAAGGTCTAGGTGGAGATTCTAAAGGAACCCCCAAAGAAGACGGTGGAAACCAGCTCTTGCCAGGCCAGGACGGCAAGCAAGACAGCGGTAAAGGCCCGGACCTGGGATCCATCACCGACTCCCTTCCGAAGCTGGACGATAAAGACAAGGGAAAGACCCGCGATGTCAATGGCACTCTTTCATCTCTTCAGGGTCACAAGGGCAAGCACGGGGATGGAGAGGACCAAAAGGGAAACACAAAGGATGAAAAGGATCATAAGGACAAGACCGACGACGGAAAGGGCCAGTAATCGAATCTCCATGGGTTGCGTGCACTTCACGTGGCTTCAATGGAAAATGGGCCATGGACGGAGTCTCAAGCACACGAATGACATTCTCGAATTTCTTAGGGTACTGGCTTTGGTTCAGATGAAAGAACCACAGGGGAAGAAATCCTCTCATTTTTATTACCCAAAATCTATTCCATTCTATTTCTATCCTATGCAATTTTTCTATATTAATTATGATTATTAACCCATATGAATGCCTTTTGTGAATGCTTTTATAATCCCAACCCTGAAGTTCAAATGCGAATGGCGCCTTTATATGCATCTCGTAATCTTTTCATGAGCTTGAATAACCGTAGATATCGCGAGCCGACTTGCTCTTCGCAGCGAGAATGTCTCCATAACGAATGAAGGCGAAGGGAATCACGCCCATAACCAATGCAATGAAACCAAGGAGCGACGGCGCCCAGTGGATGCCAAGACTGTCGTACATCGGCCCGGCAGCGAGCGGCAGCAAAACTGCACCGATTGATCGAGTGGTACCTGCGGCGGCCTGGGCAGAAGCAGAGAGCTCGCGGAAGACATCGTTGATGTAGTTACTCATGCCGATGAAGACCAGCTGGAAACCGAGACCGAAGAAGAAGCCACTGAAGGCGGGAAGAACGGGGGATACAAAGTCCCATGCTGTCCATCCTAACCAAAAGAGTGCAATGACCATACTATTAGATGCGGTTAGTTTGAAGCTCGTCTTGGGATTCAGGGGGAAACATACAGAGGAGCAGCCATGCAAGCCAGCGGCAGGCGGCGGTTCACCTCTCGGAGTGCCCATGGTTTGCCAGCCTCGACGGATCGATCATAGTACCAGGTCCACAAACCAGCGATGGCCATGGCAACAATAGCACCGAGAGCCGCTGTTGATTTGAATTAGTTGTTTGTTTATCAACGTAATAGTATTCGAGACTTACTCGGCAAGAAAGCAAGACCAGCGACCCCTGGGCTAAGGCCATAGTGTCCTAGAATCTTGAGTCAATATGCTGGGAATAAATATTTTATAGACAGATTGGAGATTCTTACTTTGAAAAAGAATTGGGTACGCCTGAAACATCAAGTAGAAAACAGAGTAAACCAGTGTGAGATACAAACAAGCGAAGAGCAGGATCGGTTCCGTAAAGAGGAGAACGAATGGGCGAACAAAGATCTTCCGAGGGTTAAAGACGTGCATTTGTTCCAAGGATTCAGGTCCCGCAAGACCCTTTTTGATCTTGCGACGGATGTCCTTGTTCTGAAGCACTGGGGCGAATGTCTCAGGGATTGTGAGCACAATCGGCAATCCCGGTGATGCGATGATGGCGGCAGCCCAAAAGGGCCATCTCCAGGATAACTGAGAGCTAAATCCTGAGATGATGGGGCCAATAAGGGGACCGCAGGTTGTGACGGCTTGGTAGAAGGAGATAGCAGACCCTCTTTCTGATGGATTATCAAGAATGTCTGCATAGAGGCCATTGATGACAGTTGTGGGAGCAGCAGCGTTGAATCCACAGAGCAAACGGAAAATGAGCAAAGCGCTATAGCTGGGTGCCCCAGAACAAGCAAGCATGAATACGATGTAGCCAATGAATGTCCCAATAAGCACCGGTCGTCGTCCGATGAACTCGCAAAGGGGCCCTACTACTAGGGGGCTGACGACATATCCTAGCATGTATAATGAGTTCAGCAGCGTGAGCTGGACCTTGTCTGTGACAGCGAAGTGCTCAGAGATGGCAGTTAATGCACCAGAAGGCATGGAGGAGCCGAGGTTGCAGTTGAAGGTGCAAGTAAAACCTGCCACGATGATGTGAATTTTGCGAGCCTAGAATCAGATCCACGAGGTTAGTTGTTATCATATTCAATGATGGCCGGCTGATCGTCGATATGAAAGAGTGGGATGTCATAACATACCCATGATAATTTGGTAGGATCCCACGATTGAACACCCTTCGAGGGCTGTTCTTCTACTGAGATTTCTATATTCTGTTTCTCAGCGTCCAGGGACCTCCTAGGGTCGAGAGTAGGTGCCCGCGAATCGAACTTTTCCGACATCGTTGATAGCTGGTAATGAACGTAAGAGAAAGAGACTTCAAGTTCAACAGCAATGGAAGCTGCCAGGGCCCGACAACTCAACGCAATGAATAGAATGGATGGTCATGAACATGCATTGAGTACGAGACATCGCCAGAAAACACTCGGCTCCTATTTCCTTTAATAGGGGCCATTTTAATGGGCAGTATACCCAATTTTTCAAACAAAACTATCACATGCCCCATTGCAGACCGCTGTCGGATCGGGTCTAGACACGCCTTTGCTGCAAAGCTACAAAAACTTTTCTTGGGTCGTTTGTTTATGGACTGGCGGTTTCCGTGCCGGAGCCGGCGAAGAGTACAGCTCTCTGATTGGCTGCAGCTTTCCGAAACTCTTTGTCATCGGAGATGGTGCCTCGATTTAATTTGCTCCCAATTTCCGACGAACTACTCCATCGCGCCCTTCCATGCAACTCTCTTTTAAACTTCCGACTGTCGGCCCTGTTTCCAATCCATCAGAGATCTCTACAAGGATAGTTCGACCGTGCTCGGGTCTATTCAGGCCTTAAGTGAGCGACACTTCGCAATTCCGCGATCACGCAATGACTGCGCCATCTGACAATCGCATTCGAGACAATCCCCATGACCCGTCGGCCTCCTCTGAGAGTTCCCCCATTGCCTCTGCTCAGAGCTCCCGAAGAACCTCAATTCAAGAAAAGAGGCGAACTAGTATGTGGATCAAGCCCTTAATACCCACTCATGCATTCCACGTGTTGACAGTGCTTGTTGTCGTAAGACGGTCGGGCTTGCACCACTTGCCACCAACGGAAAATTCGGTGTGATATCCTCACTAAAGGTATCCCTTGCACAAACTGTTCCTCGCAGGGTCGTCCCGGCTGCTGCCCTTACCAGAAGAAGCCGAAACAACAGTCCTCCCTGAACACTCTTCAGTCTTCTCGACCTCCCGTGCCGATCCGGCCCCGGGGACGACCTCCGAAGCGTACACCAGCGACATTAGCCCTTCGTCCGGAAGCATACATATCACCCGAATCAGTAGCCAGTCCAGATTATGTCGCCAACACTGCCAGGCCGCCTTCCAAATCTGGATCACGGGGCTCTCAGCAAACATGGGAAGGCGACGAGGTGAACGAATCCGGCAATCTTGCGGATTTCATCAACCAGGAAGACTTCCGAGCCTCCGAGATCAGCTATCGCGGGCGGATGTGCTTCCTCGGTTCTGAGATATCCAATTTCAACTATCTCATAAGACAGGGCTCACAGCAACCCAGCCAGGATCATGTCCTCCATATGAGAAACCGCCAATTCCACAAAAAGTACACCGTCCTGGACATCAAAAGCATCCCGGCCGAAGCTTTCAAACGGCCGGACAAGAAGCTCGCAGATGAGCTTCTCGAGGCCTACTTTGTCCACGTGAACCGTGGCTGGCCAATCGTGGACGAGCAGGACTTCATGGCCCATTATAACGGCAAGGTCGCGGCGAGCTCGGTCCCTCTTCCGCTGATGAATGCCCTGTTCCTCGTCGGGGCTCATGTGCTGGCGCCCCAGCGCCCAGAGTTGAGAGCACTGCAGTCCGTCTACTTCCGCAGAGCGAAGACGTTAATTGACGCTCGATTTGACCAGGATCGGACGGTATATGTTCAAACCGCTCTTCTAATGACGTGGTACTCAGATGGCATGGAGGAGATTGTAGCGAATGCCTGGCACTGGATTGGGATTGCGGCAAGGACTGCCCTTGGTGTCGGGATGCACCGAGATGCTTCTGCTTCAAGGATGCTTGAGGTGCACAGGCGGACGTATGTGAGGCTGTGGTGGGTTTTGTTCCAGTTTGATACAATGGTATCAGCGGCATACGGCCGACCTCAAGCTTTGTGAGTTTTTAATTGTGAAAGGTACTCGTTGATAGTGGTGCTTTGACTGACATATTACTTCAGGTGCTTGGATGAATCAGATGTGCCCTTCTTGGAGGCTTCTCACTTTGAAGGAATCCCGAACGCAGAAATTGATTTCATTATACGTCACACTCAACTCTGCATCATCATCTCAAGAACGATGAAGAAACGCTGGGCGCTTCGAATCTCCGATGCTGAAAAAATCGAGGCTACCAAAGAGGGTGACCGTGCTCTCGCCCAGTTCATCACCCAACTACCGCGATCACTCCGCCTCCCCGTCCATGAGTCTGAAATCTGGAAATCCACGCTTCACCTGACGTACAACAACTTCCTCCTGCTGCTCCACCGCCCACCTCCGAGACAGTCTCTGGGGGATAAAGCGGCGGAAGCGTGCACGGATTTGAACATTTGCAGTGATGCCACGGCGGGGATGACATCTATCCTGGAAACTCTGAACGCGAAGAACGGCCTTTCGTCCCTCTGGCTGTACGGTCTACACGCTGTGTTCACGTGTATGACACAGGTGAGTACCGAAATGGCATCCGAAAGCCCCTTGGTGGCAGCAAAGGCACAGAGGATGTTCGAGTCGCTCTCCACCTGGCTTCGGGAACTCGCCTGTCAATGGCAGTTTGCAAAGGCCCTCGTCCGGCTCTTTGAAGAAAGGGAAGCGAAGATACGACAGCAACCACCAAAGCTGGCCGCGACAAGCATGGTACCGCAACCCCCGGAGGTCTCAGTAGCGGGTGATGTCCATGCCGAGGCAGGGAATGGGTTTTCCTTGCGCCCGCATCCACTCTCACAAGTTACTGCGGCGCCCGTTCTGGTGCACAGCACGGCGCCAGACAGCATGGCCCCGGCATTATCTCATGCAGGGCAGGCTCTTGGCCCCTATGACGGGTTTTCTGGGGGATCGAATGTCCATGTTGGGTCTGATTTCGGTGATATATTCATGGGCGATTTCCCTTTCCAGGACGCGCCTGCATTGGAGGCTCTTCTGGCAGGTATGGATGGGAGTGATTTCATTTCCGGGCTAGAATCTTAATTTTAGTATTTGATGCTGGAGAATATCTTATTCATCAGTCACCGCAAAGGAGATTACTTTTGATATTGCAACTAGGTTTAATTTCTATATGTTCTATCATTATATAGGAACACTGAATTATTGTCATTGTCATGGCCAATGGCCAGGAGAAAGTCCACTATATCAAATAGTGCTTTCTCCACTCCCTCCTATCCTTGGTAGGCCTCCATCCCCTCGTATTTTCCTTCTAGTGCTTCAGGTTCTTCAGGCGGAAGCTACGGGCATGGTTGCGACGGAACTTGTTGAGGCTGGCAGTGGTGGAGTTGGATCCACCGTACAGAGCAGGGCCGGGCATCTCGTAGCTGGTGAGGGTGGTGTAGGGGTTGAAGAGGATACCGGGGTGGTCGGCAGTGTACAGCTCAGTTCCGAGGACACCCTCAGGGTTGTCGGTGCCAGAGCCGGTGATCTCAATGTTGAAGCACTGGGGGTAGTTCTGGGCACCGTTCTGGGAGCCAGCACCGTGCATGGCAATGATCTCGTGGCGGAAGACGTAGTTGCCGGGGGCGAGGGTGGAGGGGACGGTGGTGGACCAGGTGTTATTGTTGGCGATGAGGTCCTGGGCAGCCCAGACCTGGGTGGTCAGGTCGATGCCAGCCTCGTCAATCTTGACCCACTTGAGGGTGTCCTTGTCGGCAGAGGTGCAGTCAGCGTCGCACTTGGCGACGTAGGTGAAGACGGGTCCCTTGTGGGAGTCGGGCCAGGCGGACCAGAGGAAGTCGACGGTGCCGCCAGCGGCAACTTGGACGGAAGCCTCGCCGGGAGCGGCGTTCTTGTGGCAGTTGATGTCGGAGGTCTGGTAGGCGTCGGGGGCGACGAAACCGTTGTCGAGGTTCTCAGCGTACCAGCCGGCAACCTTGGGAGGGGTCTGGCCGTTGACCTTGGCGTAGTAGTAGTCGAGGAGGAAACCGCCGTGGGCAACACCGTCGACGCGGAAGTTGGGGACTGTGCCGTGAGCGAGGGCAGAGGCGGCAAAGGCGCCGAGGAGAGAGACTGAAGTCTTCATTTTGAAAGATGGTGATGTTTGTTTTGGATCGGGGGATAAAAGAAGGTTTAATGTTGTATGTAGCGAAAGTAAGAGGGCAGTCGAACGGTTCCAGCTCCGCCCAGCGAAGTAATTGTAAAGACTGAATGAAGTGAGAAGATGAGATGAAGCTTGAGGAATGAAACATATCTCGGAGTGGGAGTTTCACTCGCTTTATAGAATGAACTGTATGCGCGATTGCGTACCAACCTTGGCGTCTTCTCAACACCACTCTTCAGGACTGCGGTCTACCAGACAAGTTGCACTGACCACACGGTCACAGATCCTGAAACATGAAAAGCATCAGTCAGCGGAGACATTCCGCAAAATGGAAATTCCACGATTGGTCAGTAAGCATAGGGGCTGCAGGCACCGGACGATAAGATGATAGGAGGCAGTCTCAAATTGACTCCGATTACCGAAAGCGTAAAAAAGTGTTACAGGTGGGCCCGCCCATGCAGACAGGTCCCGGGAACCGAGTGGTGTGACTGGGATCTTGTCAAGGAACTGTAGCGTAGCCTGAAACTCGGAGCTGGAACCTCCGCGATCGCCATGTGTAAGGGGTGAAACTTCTGACAACATTCTCTGTGCTAGTACGTGGAAAATTCTTATCTCTCAATTGTATCTCAGATCGTCGAAAAAAATGACGCCAAAAGGACCAGCGTAATCGCTTGGCGACAATTTGTCGCAAACGGTGGGCGCCAACTTGAAACATCGGAAGGGATAGGGGAGTTTGTATCTCGATTGACCGTGAATTGCTTACATAGTAGCTTAATCCTGGTATGCTATCTTCAGACTCTGCTTCTTATCCTTGGAAAAGAGCTTTCAAGTATCCGCTCCAGTTGTCAAAGGTAGCATCAGCTTGCACAATTTCCCAGACATCGCTGGCCTTTTTCGCAACACTTTCAGGCAAGGGACCTGCGTTGATGAATTTCAATGTTTCCTTCTCCTGCGCTGCATCTCTTGCACCAAAGATGATGCCATCTCCGTGCTCTCCCTTCAGGGCAGAGTGGTAGACTACCCACCGAAACGCGAGCTCGGCTCTGGAAATCTTGGCTTCCTCTGCAATATAGCCCCAGGCGTCCAATGCTTTCAAGAATGAGGGCTTGTTGTATAATGAGGAATACAATTTGCCCAAGAAAGTACTTGTGTCAAAACGGGAGACACCAGCCAAGAAGTCCTCTTTAGGCTTGGCAAGCAATCCCCCAGCAATCGGGCTGTAGGCATTGTAAGTGATACCCAGCTTTCGTAGCAACGGGACCAGTTCTAATTCAGGGAGGCGGCCGATTGCATTATAGGCACCCTCATAGACAGTCGGTACCACGCAGTCATTTGCAACGGCCGCGTCATAAAACTTCTGCACCTCCTCAGGAGAGAAGTTGGAGAGCCCAAGGTGTTTGAAGGCACCCTGCTTGTACAGTTCGTTGTAGCCCTTGACTTGCTGGTCCAGGGGAGTCTTGCTGTCTGGAGCATGGAGGTACAGCACTTCAACCTATAATAGAGTCAACGCCTATACTATCACCACTGTGCAAAGGGCAGAGCCTACCTGGTTCGTTTTGAGGAGTCGAAGGCGTTCCTTTCCTACTTCAACAATCTCTTCCGTCGTTCTTCCGGCAGCAAACCCACCCTTGACCTTGGTGTGAATGACGAATTTCTTTGCGGCATCATGGTGAGCCAGCTCTTCTTCACTCCCCTCGTACAACTCAGAAGTGTCAATGCTTCTAACACCTTCAGCTGACAGGACTTCGAGCTGGTCGCGGACTAGAGCGCGGGCGGTGTCGACACCTAGGAGATCGTTGAGGTAGGTTCCATAACCTCCCGCTCCAAAGATGAGGTTGATCCCGTTGGGGGCAGACATGGTCACTGGTGGTTTGTAATAAGGGCTTTGAAAGAAAGGTGCTCTTCCCTGTTGGCTCAGGTGATTGCAATGGTTCTCGACTTCCAGACAGCGGCGACTCGGACGAATTTATAGAAACCATGTCAACTTCCAGCAGAGGCTAACCTCTGCCATGTCAACCGGAGTTACCAGGTCATCTCCTCCGTGTCCGTCCCAGCCCATAGTTTGGGGCGGATTTTGCATCCGTACTTCCATCGGCCATACTCTATTTCTACAAACTCGAGGGCTCATTCGTGAGAGCGTATGGTAGATAGCCGCGCCAGAACAGCTGCTTTGTAATTGTCGTGATGGAGGAAGTGGAGGGGTGGAGAGGCATCGAAGCTCAGCCAATTGCGATGGCGCCCATACGAGCAAGGGAAAAGCGGGTGGAGAATCCCAGTTGTACCATCCGGAAGCATTATGAGCATGATATGAGCTGTTGCCCGCTCGGAACATACTATGATTCATGTCCATTATCGCTTCATTTTGAAAACAACGCGTTGAGTTCTATAGTCCGAGGTGAGAATCGTGAATCATACCATTTTGTACTCGAGAGTAAGATAATGTGAAGGTACCTACCTACCTTTTGGGATATCAGCATCTAGGCCCTGGTCGAAATTTCCCTACCCTAGACACATCGTCCATGCATAATACAATTCTGTTCAACACGACTTAACACATCAATTAACCCGAGTAGTAAAAATTTCACATAGGCACTTATAGTATATTATAGCATCGGAAAGTAATCTACAATCTAGGGTCGTTTATGTAACTAGGTGGTGATGTACGTAAAGGTGGACTCTACATCCGTTTATGACTTGCGTAGGCCATTTGCAAATTGAAACTCTAAGAGGGACCCAAGTTACTATAAATAGATATGCAGACGAATAACTTTCATAATTTTGTACTCTTTTATCACAAATCATGGTGCATAAATCCATGCTGGGTAATAGCACATTGAACAATTGACCAAGCTTAGATACCCAGCATACACATATTTCAATTATTTGACTGAGTTGTTACGGGTGCATGTTCGAGCATCAGCTTCAAGTTGTATCTACCATGGCGAAAGTCGCGTATGGCTTGATCTTGGGATACATCCCTTGCTCAAAGCAACACTAAGAAGTACAAATGAAATCAAGCGGAAATTGTCACAACGATTGACGATCAGTTAATTGACGACCAGTCAGGATTGACGTTATATAGAGGAAAAGAAATCGTTTCATTATCATACTTGAGCGAGTAATCGCGTGAGGTCTAGGCAAATACGTCTACCTAATCATTATTACAACCTTCCAGGTGAAGGAGAGAAGAGTATCATAGCCCATCTAGTTGGAGATCTTGGGGTTCACTTTGTTTCTGCACCATATCCGCGTTAGCCCACATCTTTAGAAGGAGAGGTAATGAAGAATGGGGAAGGAAGTTATTCCATGCATGTGCTGCCGCCGGAAATTAAGGGCGTTTGAAGTAGGCCAAATAGCGAGACTTACCCAGTAATCTTCTCGTAGGCTTCACGGCCACCATCAGTGATCTTCTCCTGCTTATCCTGGCTCAAGTTCCATCCCTCCTTCTTGTTGACTTGGCCAAAGGCTGGCACGATTGTTAGCGCAAGGTTCATTTGGCAGAGTCCTCATGTTGACTCCGGCGGGCGAATTAAATATGCACATACCCTTGTCGACATAGTCCTGCTGTCCTCCTGCGGCAGGCTGGCCTCCCTGAGCAGGCTGCTGCTGGTTGCTGCTGCCCATCTTATCGGCGGCCTTCTTGACGAAATCCATTGTTGATGTGGAGGGGGGGGATTGATTTGGTGTGAAAAGTAGAGGATGTTTGAGTGTGTTGATTGTCTGATGCTATGGAACAAACTACCCGTTACCGACGGCTCTGGTTCTACTTATATACTTATCTGGCGACTACCTTCTACGCTTCACGGCTGACGTGTGCTAGATGGAGGGTCCACCGCGCCATCAGCTATCCAAGGGCCCAGCGATGCCCCTCAACCTGCCTTTGAGATCTCCGGAACACATGCCGTGGGACAAGTATGAGGGGTAGGCGTCATATCACATATTGTACCGCTCTGTGCGTCATTCCTTCCAAGGTTTGGCTTCTGCCAAAGGCGTCGATGCTTTCCGCTAGTCGTTGCCTGCTGGCAAATCAGGAGCTGGCTGGTCACTGATCGACTGAGAGCCGAGTTGCCGGCTAACCGGCGATCCAGTTTCGGGATTAGTCTCCGGCAGAAGATCTCAGAACTACGTCACATTGGGCCCTCTATGACGCCGACCAAACTTGGTCGCGATACGCAATTGCGGCAAAGACATGGCTAACAAGATTGGTAGTAAGGTAAGATCGGTCTGAGAGATCGATTTCCAGTGTCACAGGAGGAATTTGGCAATAGGAGTCTGCTTCAATTTACTTGTTAGGACTTGGTTGCATCAGTTATGCTGCCACGTCAGTTGGGGGGCCGTGGCTGTTGCGGTCGGTACAAACTGCGATAAATCCAAGATTGTGGCTTGAAGCCCGCCAAGAAGCAGCATACGCCGAATTGATGGCGGCATCTTAATAATTCTCTGATCTCATGTGGCTTGTGCAGCCTAGATAGAGTTCCCGTAGCCGGTGAGCTAGTCAGGTAGTAAAAAGCCGGTCACTTTCGTCTGAGTTGCGTCTTTTTATGAAGTACAGAAAATGCCAGATGGGGTCTTGAGAAGCATCCTATCTTTATGAGACCGCTTAAAATACCCTAAATATGATTGCCCGGTCGTTCACGCTGGAGTTGTGAAAAATATCTAAAGTGACAGGGACACAATGATATCATGAAATGATCCTACTGTCTTCATTCTTGTTTCACATAGGGTTCCCTGAAATTTCTATGGGGATATTGCTACGAGTTGGAACATGGGTGTAACACTCTATCGGGTCAAAGATTTGGAAAGATTGTACGAAGATAGTGAAATGGGGGAGACAGTTACCCTAAGAATCTTGATGTAGCTACAGGATATAAGAGTGAATGAAGAGCCTAGGCTACTTGTGTCGTAGGTAATAACAAGATCCAGAAAGAACGTTGAAAGTCTCCAAATGAGGATAGTAACGGAACTAGAAACGATCTATAGAATTTCCAGTCTGTAGACATCACAGCCTTTCCGAAAACTTGCTGCTCCACTGCTCAAGTATGCCATTAATTGTGTCCACAGACTCAGTAGCCATGCCATAGCCTGCTTGGAATCCTGTACCACCGGCACCATAGTTATGCACAATAATGCGAGTGTGACCAGCCACATCAATGTCAGTACGTTCAATTCTTGCACCGCCCTCTCGTGAAGGTCTAAGACCTGAGAAGGCTGCGAGAGTCTCGAAGCTCTGTTTGGACAACTCTGGGCTTAAAGCTGTAGTTCGTTTGATTATCGAATCGGCTTCGCTCGCGTAGGTAGAGCTATCGCTATCCAAAAAATTTAGTAATTTGACTCATGAGCGTGGAGGAAGGTGAAAATACCTGTTCCCTTTTTGCATATAGCCTCCCAAGATGACACATCCGTTGGATTCAGGTCGGGGAATAATATACGTCTCATAGTCTCGTCCATGTCTCATGACATTTGTGTGCACATGAGGCGCGCGTGCAAGTAGCACTTGGCCTCTTGTTGGATAACACTGGGAATCTTCTACTCCGACTAGAGTCTTTGCCTGGTTACCAACGCAATTGAACACGATCTTGGTGTTGGGATTTGAAAACGGGTCTCTGATGTCTGAAACAACTTTTCTGACGAATCGAACTCCATAATCATCCTGTAGTCTCTCGTAAAGATACTTGAGATGGTTTGGAGCGTTCAAAGTTAACGTAGTGAACGCCACACCAAACTTGACCCCCTCGGGTAGTTCGCTGGGGGACAGAACTCGAAACTGCGAACTGATTAGTAAAATGACATTATTATAGATGCCCTTAGTCCAAAGATGGTCTAACATTCTTGAGATACTCAGCCATATTCTGAATTTTCTCCTCTGGAACATCGTCGTCCCAATATTCAATGGATTCAGTCTCACGAACAAAGGTCTTTGAGGAATCTGTGGCTGCAAGACTAGACAAGTGAGCATATCCTTTCTTATCCCACCGCAGCGCATTTTGATCCCGACCAGAAATGGCCGAGAAGTTGCATCCAGCCCTGAGAATGTTAGTACATCAACATCCGCATTCGGAATGTTCAGCTAACCATGGAGAAGTATATGAGGGCGCAGTGTCACCCGGATGGTGTTCCGCAACGACAGTTATTTGACTGCCGAAACCACGTCCAGCCAGAACCAAGGCGACATTCAGGCCAATAATACCAGCGCTGTTAGTCAGAGTTAGCTTGAGCTGGCTTCACAGCAGGAGAATTGGGTTACGTACCCTACGATAACAATCTTCTCCCTGGAGCTAGCCATGTTGGTTAAATGAGCGGCGTTCTTGGTGTATTGGGTATGATCCAAGCACGGGTTTCCCCTCTTTTTGAAGCAATCTTCCGACCTGGAAGGCTTGTCAATTGTCACTTGCATGAGTCAATTTCTAGCTGAATAGGGTTGCTTTCCGGGGGGCCGTTGTCGGTGGGCTGCAGAAGACTTGCCCGCGGGAAACTTTCCATGGGAAATTCCGCGGTTCCGAATGGCACGGGGATCCCACAAACCAAAAGCATTAGGAGAAGATGCATAATGTAGATCGATCTTCTCCAGTCATCTGACACGCCGAATAATCGCGCAGATTCTCACCAGAACAGAAGATAGCTTGGAAAGAACAGGAAATGGAAACTAGTGGTATTGACGCTGTAACTCAAACGTTCCCCCAGAAGGGCCCCTCTGAATCAAGGCGTCCATCTTTAAGTGGGCACGGATATCAACCCTTGAGCGACTCCATGGTTAGGGCGCATTCGAGGTGAATCCCCGGCCTCGACTAAGGCAATCTGCGAGAGGGGTCAGAACTGATGTGGCATAACCCACTTAACCGGAGGTCTGACTACGCCCAATAGCCTAGGAGAATGAATATATATACTGCCTAAAACCTCCAGTCCAGTTGCTCTCACATTTTCCTGAGCATCTAACATATTCTTCCTTGACCAAAACCACTATGCCTAGCGTTGTCGAAGTTACTGAGCCTGCCCCTTTCGGCGCAAAGCTGAAGCAGAAGCTCGCACAAACACAGGAGAAGGCCTCCAGAGACTTCCGATCTGATGTCGTCACTGTGCCAACCGAGGATATGATGAGTGTAGGGAATTCCCTAGTCAATCACTAGGTCTCTCATAGCTGTTAGTCTGCCGAACATGGCTGATTCTTTCTAGGCTATCGTGGATGCCTCTGTTAGCGATGATATCTACGATGAGGACGGTGACCGCTGTGTCAAGGCCCTTGAACAGAGACTTATCGAGTTGACTGGCATGGAGGCCGCGCTCTGGACAGTTTCTGGCACCCAGGGGAATCAGATTTGTCTGCGTACACACCTGACCCAGCCTCCCCACAGTGTTCTCCTTGATCACCGTGCCCATGTTCATTGCTGGGAATCCGGTGCCCTGCCCGTCATTTCTCAGGCCTCTACCACAACTATCAAGCCTAAGAACGGGGTCCATCTGACACTTGAAGACATCAAGCCGGCCATCATTGCCGACGGCAATAGTGAGTAGTTATTTGTGACCCCTCAAAACTTTCCAACCTGCTGACCTCTACTAATAGTTCACTTCCCCCCTACGCGCGTTGTTTCACTCGAAAATACCCTTTTCGGAACCATTCTCCCCCTTGCCCATGCTCAAGAGATCTCACAGTATGTGAGGTCGCTACCCCAGCCTGAGGGTCAAAAGCCCATCGCCATGCATCTCGACGCTGCTCGGTTATTTGACGGCGTGATTGGTGAAGGAGTGGACCTCAAAGCTTATGCCGCCTGTTTTGACAGCATGTCCATTTGCCTTGCCAAGGGTATTGGAGCACCCATCGGAAGTGTCATTCTTGGAAAGAAGGTTTTCATTGAACGAGCCAAGTGGTTCCGCAAAATGCTAGGCGGCGGAACCCGGCAGCCTGGCATGATGGCTGCAGCAGCCCTCTCTGCACTGGAGTATACGCTCCCTCGCTTCCCTGCCGTTCACAAGACGACCAAGGACGCTGCGAAGCAGCTGGAAGCTGTGGGCTACAAGTTCACGCTGCCTGTCCAGACGAACATGATTATTCTGGATCTCGAAGAGGCTGATATTCCCCCGGCTGCGTTTGTCGAGTATTGTGCACGGGAGAAGGTGGCAGTCTTCCCAATGGCTCGACTTGTATTCCACCATCAGACATCAGAAGCCGGTGTTAAGAATCTCATTACTGCTTTGACTAAGCTCATGGAGGATAAGAAGAACGGTGTTTCTCTTGAGGATAAGAAGGTCAGCGGAGGGTATAGCTAGACTGCGATTTGATAATTCAATCAAGAAAATTTGATCTGGCAGCCATTGATTGAATCAGATTGGCTTTACCCTCCGTGAAATTGTATAATATAGATGCGAAGGTAGAATAAGATCGCCGGTTGTTGGGTAGGAACGCTCAGTTTCTGTTTACTTTACGTTCTAAATAGAGGGAGAAAAGTAGGTAAACAGATCATTGATCGTTGAGATTTTTTTCTAAGGTAGAAGCGGATTTATGACTACCTAAGAGAAACTTAAGAATCATTGTGTTTCTGTAATTTTTCTATCCACTATTCAGCCAGCTTAGAAACTGAATATTAGGTAGTTATGGCAGTGAGACTTTTGTGACAATTTGAAAAAGACATGGACGGTTGGTGCGAAGTAAGTAGACTTCGTAACTCCTTCGCCCAACTGGCTCAACCTTATCCATCTGAATAACTGAGATAAGGTTGGTTATGGTAGGCAGATATGATTTCCTAGATGTCGAAGGCAACAGCTAGGCTTACTCGAAGGCTTTCACAGTACGCGTAATGCTACGTATGTATGACGCCGATAGTCACTTCATGGGGCGATGATAAGACATACGGCTAAACGGTTAAAGATGTTGGATTACATAGCTACAGCAGGGGCTTTCCATATATCGTAACTTGACCAACCATGAATGTCGGTCTAGCCAAGCAGCCGGGGTGTAAGACCTATCCATGGATGGATGTAACGTCATTTCGCGCCAGCAGGCTGACACGATCCTTCGGGAGAATGAGCAATTATATAAACATGCTGACATCGCCAAATTTCTTTTATGGGAAACCTGGTGACAAGAAACTGTACATCGATATGCTCTTGATTAAAACCCTCAGCTTTGCGGCCGTGGCGGTGGCATTCCACCCAGACCTGGCTGAGCTCTTCCCAAGGCAAACGGCGGTCGACAACGGGGACCCGTGCTACACCAAAGTCCAGAGCCTCTACGACTCACAGCCAACCGTAGGACCCGCGTACAGCTCTTGGATTTCGTCTGTCTATGCCACTGCCACCGACAATTGTAGCGCGGTCGCGGTCACTGGAACCGCGTTATCAATCGTCGCATCCTGGAGAGATGAAGTGGACGACTGGAGATTGTCACATTCTTCTGAGATCAGAAGCTTGAGCTCAGAGTGCAGTTCATACATGAAGAGTCGAGCAGATGCATTTCTCGCTTCTGTGTCGTCCTATAGGGAGTCTTGCCGAGACAAAACGCGATCATCAACGAGAACCCGCTCTCGGACCACTACACCTGGATCATCGGCCATCACGTCTAGCTCGGCGTTGACTCCTTCTGATACAACCTCCATTACGACAACTCAAACCGAAGCGTCAATCAATTCCAATTCGGGCACGGCAGCTGCGACAACGACAACTGGAGGGAACGCGGCGTCGGGAATATCTCCACTAAGCAGCTTTTCAACCATACTATTAGCTCTCTTCTTCAGTGTATTCTTGGTAGTGTAGATTTTTTTCTTTTAGGGATCTTTGAGGTAGCCGAAGCTCGAATTTACAACGGAATGTCAAACTGCAAAGAATATAAATCAATCCTCGTGTGAAAAGACTCGTGGTTCATTTTGGGAGGATTTAGGAACATTGGTAAGCGGATACTCAAACTTCGACATGGGTTGAATACCACAATTCATTCTTTTCCAGTAGAATAATATTAGCCTAGCATGCAAAGTCCTCGTCTCTCTACCAGGACAAGAACCATAGCTTCCTTGCGAATAATAGCCCTCCTGTTAGCGGGCCACACTTCCACCATGCTTGGATTGTATGTGTGTGCAGTGCGTTTAGAACCGAGCTTGTTGTCAAGCTGCCCACAAACCTCATATCCTGGGGTTTGGAGGAAGGTTGTTGTACAGATCCATTACGAAGTTCTCTTTGCTGGAAAGTCTTGCCTCCGTCTCTTCAAACACGGCAGGTATTCCAGAGTCAGAATAAGAGCATCCAGTCATCACCATCTGGCTAATTCCTTTCGCGGCGAGGAAGATTTGTGGCATCCCATGGCCTGTAAATCCTCCCATAATGAACATTCCATCCCTACCAGGCACGGCGCCGATTCGAGGAAGTCGATCGGAGGAGTAACCCATAACTAATTTGGTTGGTCAGCAAGAAGTATTGTGCTGGATCTAAGGTTGTTGGATAAGGTATGCATACTGCCCGTCCATACTTGATCGGTTACTGCGCCGCTGTTTTCCCAGCCCCTAAAATGACGCTGCATGTAACCGTCGAAGTAATTTTCCGCTCGTTTTATGAGCGAGCTGTCGTCAACATTGCCGTACCAGTCATCAAGGTGCTGCAGGTACGCCCTTCGTGCCCCTCCCACGACAATGCTGCCATCTGCCCGAGGGATCAAGTAGTCGAAGTCCCATTCATTGAATCGAATGGTGTAAGTGTTTGGAAGAATGGGTGGAGGACTAGGCGTCGCAATACGACTGCAGATGGCCCGGTATGGAATAATCTTGCCCTGGTATTCCGGTAGCAAGGCAGCTGTATAAGCGTTTGTTGCCATAACGATTTGCTTGGCACGAACATTGCCTCTTTCCGTCCTGATTTCCCAATACCCTTGGCTGTCTCGTGTATCTGACACCGAAATGACGGGAGTGTTAGTTTGTAGGTTGATACCGGATTTGATTGCCTGCGAGAACATGTGATGTATCATTTTGTATGGCCAGACATGGCCCGCTGTATAGCTGAAAGCGCCCTTGGCCCCTTTGACTCCTGAGATCTGGAGGTAGATTACGAGATTAGCCATACTTATCTGGGTGGTATAAAATATTTTGAGTTCACAATGGGACGTAGTAGAATGACCATACCATCTCTGCATCTTGCCCGTCCATATAGAAGACATCTTGAGTTGCTGCAACACCTTGATCTTGGAGATTTTTATATCCAGCTCGAAGGGTCGCATTGTGAGAGTCTGATAGCTGAACATCAACAGCTCGGGTGGTGAAGTATTCGCATTCTACCCCTGAGTCTCTAATGTATGTTTCCACAGCTTTTGCATTGGCTACTTCGAACTCTGCCACCTCTGCGGCCGCCGCGAGATTAAATTTGGAAGCAAGGAAAGATGTCATATTGTACGCATCTGGCTTCATATGGCCACCTATAAAATGGTCAGTGAAACTACTCAACATGAGCCGAAATGGGGATTGTACCGTTCCTCCCAGTTGCGCCGGAACATAGCTCCCGGGCCTCGAGGACGAGGATGCTTTTCCCTCGGCCTTCCTCTGTGGAAAGAAGATGAGTTACGAGAGAACCCCCCGAAAATCCGGCTCCGATGATGGCGATGTCCGTGGCTTGGGGGATGTTTTCTGAGGAACGGAAAGTGTCAAGCTCTCCTGGGGATGTCCGCCAGAACGACGGCATTCCGTGTGGGTGTGGATACGGCTTTCTGAACGTCATCTCGGATTTTTCGAACGTGAAAAGTGACAGTTCTGTGCGGATGCTTGTTTGCCACCAGTCTACAATTTCGGTACAAACGAATCATTAGTTTATCAACCCATTACCTGTACTGTAAATCGATACCATGACATCCGCTGTCGGAGCAGATGTGCCACTGGTCGGACAACCTTCCTGCTGAGTCTGGCAGTCAAACGCATAAGTGGGCTCTGCCCTTGATAGGCAGGTAACCAAATGCGAGTTCAGCACCTGTTGTGGTCAAGAAAACGAAGAACTGGGGCGTGGTTCCACCAATATCCTGGTCTCCAAGGGAAGCTTTGCCGTAGAAGGCAAGGTAAGAGAAGTGTTGCAATGCTAGAGCAAAAGGGGGAATTAGTGGCTGTTGCCAAGCAAGCTCCTCGTTTTGGTTTCTCCTTTCGTCTCAGCGCGTGGAGACGAGCTCGCTCCAGCCATGCAGTAATCATGCTAGCCACGCTGTGGTTCGAATTTCTCGTTGGAGGGGATGGACACTTGGTTGTTGCCTGAAGACCATACAGATCAGTTTTTGTTAGCTAATCTAAAGAGTCTGCAGTGTTTTTTCTCAGAAATCTCATCTCGTCTACCCCCAGATTCCGTAGATTTGGTCAGTTTCGATTTGTCATATCCTGGGGCCAGCTGGACGGCTGATAGCAAATGGGAATTTGATACTTAACCCCGCAGAAACAAGGTACACTGTGGTCGAATTATCGAGATCCATCACCGTGGGGTTAAGTGATCTAGAATTACCGCCTTCCTGGAAACCCTAAAAGTTGGTTATCTGATGGTGGGGAGCTTGAAGATATACCATATCTCTAATAGAGTCTTACCCCAGCAACCCTCTGCCTATATATGTTACTTGTAGCACCCCAGCCAGAGTGCAAAAAGAATATCAGCTTTCAACAACGATATTTTGTCTTCTCTCTACCTGCGTTCCAAGTCAATACACCTTTTACCCACCATGGCCACTCAATCCCCCTCTCATCCGAGGGAGTCGAAAGAGGATGACCCCAAGGTCTCAGCCGAGTTCGGCGCCCAAGAGACCATGGTCCAACACCAAACCCAGCGTGGTCTTTCTCCCCGCCATGTTCAACTCATGACCATAGCAGGAGGTATCGGCGTGGGTCTCTTTGTGGGTGTTGGCTCAATCCTACGGGACGCTGGTCCGTTACCTTTAATCCTCGGCTACTTCATTTATGGAGTGTTTTTCATATGGCCAACCTGCTTGAACGTGGCGGAAATGGTCGCCTGGCTTCCCATCCGTGGATCTATTTATGAGCTTGCAAATAGATACGTTGACCCGGCGCTTGGCTTTGCCATGGGCTGGACGTACTTTTTTGCCGGCACAATGCTCGTTTGCACGGAATACTCTGCCGTCGCGACCGTGATGGAGTATTGGATCACCACAGTCAACCCGGCTGTGTGGGTGGCAATGTCAATGGTTGTGTGTTATTTTCTGAATATGGTTGCGGTCAAGTAAGTCAGATCTTGAACTTCATCGAGTGGATTATGCTAACTGTTAAATATAGGTGGTACGGTGAAACCGAATTTATAATGGCATCTACAAAAGTCCTTCTTCTTATTGGCTTAGTGTTCGCGACAATCATCACCATGGCTGGTGGTAACCCACATCATGATGCATATGGGTTCCGCAACTGGTCAAACGGGAACTTCATTCACCAGTACTATACAGATGGCGCTACAGGAGTGTTCCTTAGCGTCTGTGTGTCCCTCCGATATGCAGTGTTCACAATGCCTGGACCTGATATGATTGCTCTCGCAGCAGGGGAAATCCGTAACCCTCGAAAGACCATCCCTAGTGTTGCGAAAATGGTTCTAGCACGTGTGATGGGGATATACGTTATCGGTGTCCTTGCCGTAGGCATTATCTGTTCTTCTCGAGATGAAAGGCTTCTGGGAGCCATTAAGTCAAAGCAAGCTGGTGCGGCAGCGTCCCCTTGGGTGCTGGGCTTGCTTAATGTCGGAATCGAAGGCTTCTTGCCCGGCCTGATCAACTTTCTGATTCTTCTGTCTGGTCTTTCGTGCGGCAATGCATTCCTCTATAGCTCAAGTCGAACACTATACTCTCTAGCCCAGGGAGGACAAGCACCTAAGATTCTTCTCAGATGCACCAAGGCCGGTGTTCCTTGGGTAGCTGTCACCGTTATCACCGCCATCTCCTGCCTATCATTCCTTGTGGCATCCAATGGATCCAATGTTGTCTTTCTATGGTTTGTGGGGTTAACAACAGTTTCTCTGTGTGTCAACTTTACAGCTAAGGCTTGGGTTTTCATCGGATGGCGCCGGGCTCTCAAGGCTCAAGGATACGCTTTAGTTGGAAAGAACAATATCAACCAGGCACCTTGGCTTTCCAAATTATTGCATTCGAAGCCTCCAGCCAGCGAAATAACGGAGAACACTGTTGTATTCCCATACATCGCTCCCTGCGGTAGTTGGACACCTTATATGAATCTCGTCCTGGGAGGGACCGTCTGTATTTTCATAGGGTTTGACGTCTTTTCCCCATTCTCCTACCGCGGTTTCATCACAAACTACTTTGGCCTCTTTTGGTTTTGCATCATGTTCTTTTTTTGGAAGGTCTACAAGAAAACCAAGTTTGTTGATGTGTCGAAAGTGGATATTTACGCAGAGGGACGCAAACAGGCCATTGATGAGGAGTGCCGTCATTGGGAAGACGGTACTATCGACGTGCTTCAGCACGAACAGCTTTCGCAATACAACATGTTTGTGAGGGGATGGAAGCGATTCTGGGGGGATTAAGGGACTGTTCACACAAGTTTAGTTCTTAGCTACCACACAGCAGCCGTTCTTGTCTTGCGCGAGTCGTAGAGCTCCACCGATGTCGGGGACTAACCGGCCAGTCACCAGTAGTATTTGACCAGGGGCTTAACGAATAATCATAAGTGGTTTTGGCTATCTTTCCCTTTTGTGGGGCTTGATATTTCCCGGTTACTTTGCCTTCTCTCTCCTCCACATTTCCCCAACCACCTCTGTCATCCTTAATCTTAGACGATCAGCTGCATGTTGGCAAGTTATGAGTGACGCCTTACGTACTGAAAATCTAGCCCATTGAAATTCGAGGATGCGAACTAAGGCTCCCCACCGCAAGTCTCGAAATGGCTGTCTTCGGTGTAAAGCTAGAAGGGTGAGTAGAAACCGCTCCATCCCGGGAACGACATCACCAATTGGCCAGACAACATCGCTTACTCTTAATTTTGTAGGTCAAATGTGATCAGAGAGCTCCGGCTTGCTCTCGTTGTGTAGATCGTGGTCTACAATGCCCAGGTTACTCGCTCAACATTCGTTGGGATCCAAGAAACCAACTTCAGACGCCGTCATCCAGTACTGCAGATAGAGCCCGGGCCGGTCCCACGCAGACCGTCGACCCATTCAGCGACATTGATTTCTTCCAGCCAAGTGTGGATCACCGGGGTGATGTCCTCCCTGCCATTGATCCTTGGAATCCGGAACCAGCTTCCATCTCAGACTGGTCCTTATCCTTGGGAGAGTTGCTCCCATCGACCCCAGCCCCGGTTGGGTTTGCACCATTGATGCCGGTGGTCCCTTCATACTTTCCCCCGGCACTTATGGAAGAGTCAACCATGTCTACCGATGAGTCGGCGCTATTCCCACCCAACTTGATAAATCCGCTTCTGGACTTCCCAACACACCAACAGATAGGCCTGCTTCCCGATGACTCGGGAACCAACCATCCTGTTGAAACTCCAGGTCGGGTTAGGGACACATGGGACAGGTGGAGTTTCACTTATCCTCAGTCAGGCTCCGGGACACAAAACTCCGACTCCCAAAAGTTGGGAGTTATCACTACAATTTCGCATTCACCGGAAATCACTCATCTTCCTACTGTTTTATCGGATTACTTCTTCAAGGAAGTCATCAAACTTTACTCAGTTTGGGATAATCACTCCAACCAACTAAGGATTCTTGCAGGATGCTTTTGGCAATCATCAGGGGTTCTCTACCATACCATGCAGAGTATGGCAGCTGCGTTGTTGACAAAGAGTTTCCCAAACCTCCGCGCTGTCGCTATTGGCGAGCGTCAAATGGGCCTGGAATGTCTCCGGAGTGGCAACGATACAGACGAAGACAGACTGATAGGGTCCATCCTGCTTGGCCATACAGCAAGTTGGATCAAACCACACGAATTATCACATGAAAACTTTGAGAACTCTCTCGAGATGCTACACGCATGGGCTTCCAAGACGCATGATCATTCTCGTCTATCGTTTTTCGGAGGGGCGGTTGACTACTGGGCGATGCTTTTGTCCTTCGTATCTGAACCAAGAAAGAACCATAATTTCCTTCGACACTCTGTTGTGGAAGCTGGCCCTCCCAGAGTAGACGGATTGATAAATCCACACCCTTTCATTGGCACGTCGGGGAGCATTGTACAAGTTCTTACAGAGCTAGGCACCCTCATTTTCAAGTATCGGAAGCGAGTGTCAGAGATTGACTTCATTTCCGAGAACGATCTTGAATCATTGCGCAAATCAATACAGGATGCTCGTCAGCTGGAACGTCGGCTGCTGGCCTTCAGACCACTGCTTCCTAAAAGTGTTCAGGATCCTGGTGATCAAACAACCTCGCCTGTTCACTTTGTGAGGATTGACGAAGGCCTTCGCTGCACAGGTTTGCTGCAAATCTATCGAGTGTTTCCAGACCTTCTCAATGATAGATATCAGCCTTGGGACTCAGCTGCCCTCCTCCAACCTCGCCCCGCTCTCAAGACTCCGTCTCGAGAAGAGCGGAATACCTGGCTTACAATGCTAGCGCTTCATATCCTGAATATCAACCGGGAGATTCCCTTCGAGTCCCGGACAAGGTGCATGCAGCCCTTTATGTTTGTGGCTGCGTCTTGCGAGCTTCGCATAGACTTTGATGCAGCAAACGAGACCAGCGGCATGGATGGCAACTGCATCTTGGTCCAAATATCCCAGGCCCGCGACTTTGTGCGTTCTAGAATGGTGGCGTACCTTCAGGTCTTCCCTCTCCAAAAAGTGGAAAAGATGTTCCAGTTAATCCAAAGCATTTGGTCGGAAATTGATGATGGGAGGGAGGTCTTCTGGCTGGATGTGTGTAAGAAGCTCAAGTTGGGCACACTGATGGGATGAATGAGCGAGATCATCGATCACCGTATAGAATTTGAGAATAACACGATAAGGGTTACGTATTATTCCAACATAACGGAGCCTACTTCACGTCCTCCCATCCGAACCCTTCCTCCCTACCTCGATTATACCCGACTTCCCCTCCTAAAATTCTTGTGTAATGCTAGTATCATCTACCAGTAGTTTAAGTGTTTTCGGCCATGGCGATCTGTGTACCTAGCATCACTCTCGGCATTCTCATCTGGGTTGTACTGATTCGCCCATCGCCGGTTCACAACCTTCAGAGCTGTAGTTTGAAGGGAAACAGCGACAAGCCAAATAACAGCGAGCGAGATACAAGCAGCCCATGCTCTTTTGTACAGCGGAGCGTCATCCTGATGCCTAGTTAGTCACAGGAATTATAAATCAGACACACAGGTCGGGGTACATACACCTCGAAAGAACTGATTACCATACGTGCCTCCGAGGTTCGAGCAAGCGACTATGGGAGTTTTATTGTTAGTAAGAATCCTAGGACCACCGAAAAAATATATATCCAGAGTAACCCACTGTAAACAGCATATGAGATGGCACGTTTCTGTGGTGTCTTGGCGTTGAGTGCCAACCAAGTAACATTGATTGACTGCCAGCCACTAATGAAGATTGAGCGTTAGAATCATGTGAGGTATTGTAAGTATTTATTGTGAAGATAGGAGTGGCTTACGGGGCGGCTGTGGCCACAAAGAGGGCAGCATAAAAGGACCATGATGACTTCGAGGTCACCGGTAGATTCTGTTTATCTTTTAGCCATCATACACCGCTGTTTAGAATATAGGGTTCTCCCATACGTAGAGCGCCACGAGCGAGGCTAAAGTCCAGATGGAAACAAAAATGATAGTGTAACCAAATCGCTTATATCGATCAACGCCTATTGAGAGCAAAATACCTAGAATGGAAGCTACGATGGGAGATGGTGCGCTTAGGAGATTCGCCTTGATGCTGGTGAATCCCAACGATTTTATGATCACAGCCCCCCAAGTAGATAAGCCATTAATTGATTGTAAGCCGCTGAGGCATACCACAAGATGTGGCCAGAGCCTCCAATCAGCGAAAACATCTCGACTGTAGAGAAGTTTAGGTCAGTCAAACGCCGATAAAAATGAAGTATAAGGTGCCACTAACATATCCGCAAATCTGATATGGAGTGTAGCATCTTGATTCTTGTCATTAGCCTTAGCAATCCGAGCTGTGAACACATCGGCTTCACGGTCTGAAAGCCAGCCGCGGCTAGGAATGAGCCCAGCAAGTAGACGATTAGTATGGTACGGGGATTTAGGGATGGTGATAAGACCGAGTACCCCAGTGGCTGAGAAACATGGGTTAGATTTGTCACAGGCTGGAATAGCATGACACAACCTACCGATGGTCGAGACGCCACATATAATGAATATCCTTTGTAAAACTGTCAGATACAACAACTCTTGATATGTTTCTTAAAGTAGTGGCCTACCAATGCCAGCCAGGACGATCATTGACTCCGTGTAAACGCAGGGCACCTGCCGATATGAGCGAACCGAACGCTGCTGCAATAGAGGCTCCGAAAAAGAATATGGCCGTTCGAGACGCCAATTCGTCTTTAGTGTACCACCTTGACAACGTATAGAGCGCTCCAGGAATGAAGCCACTCTCAGCCAAGCCAAGGAACAGCCGAGCTGCATACCAACCGCCAGCATTCGTAACAAACATTTGAAGAACTTCGATAATCCCCCAGAGGATGACCTGGAAAGGAATCCAGTAGTGGGCACCGATTCGATGAAGGACGATCTGGCGTAAATAAACATGTTAAACACAATTTCTCATCTTGTAGGTAGCCTTGTGAGATTGTGCTTACGTTAGAAGGGATCTCAAGAAGGACGATTCCTAGCCATAGCAAGGAGACACCAGTGTTAGCTTGATCCCGTGATATACTGGTATCCTCGAAGAACGTGGAAGAAAGGACACCAGACACGTTGGTTCGGTCAATCGCCATCCATGTGAACATAACCTAGAACTATGAGTTAGCTATTTTGGTTCATACTTTCTCCATCATGGTCTGGAGGTGGACATTACCGTGAAAATGGGAAGGAATAGCAGATCAGCCTTGCGAACAACACGCCGTTCCTCATCCAAGGTCCATGAAATGAGGTGCTCCTGGCCGTCTTTCAGAATTATCTGTTCTTTATGTCTATCATCGCTTTCTGGATCGGAAGGCGGACCAGAACCGGCTGGCTTCACTTCGGTGGATACAACTGTCTCTTCTAAAGTGTTATCGTGAACTTCGGTTTTGAGGTCCGGATATTGCTCGCCACTCCCAAGAGCATCAGGTCCGGTCGCTTTGGTACCCATTTTCCGTGATAGGGACCAGTTTCTCAATAATTCAGATGCCGTTGACTGTATTTGCCAAGTCAGAATATCATAGGAATAACCCTCCTGGTAAGTTTGAATCTAGCAAGCTCAATGGCATCAAGATCAAGACCAAGCAATCCAAGAAGGTTGAGCCGTTGATTTGTTCTTTTTGACCTGAGATCTCGCAAACTAGGAAGCAAGTCAAAAAAACAATATTCACATAAATAACCATTGCACCATCCAGCCTTCACAAAAGTCGTGATCGACTGGGGGTATGCTGTCATCAACCAGTCCACGTGCCCCCTCGGCTCATTGCCTGTCTAATTCCCAACGCTTATCTTGGTTAACCGAACATTGCGTTTGACTTCCCAGGTGGGATGAAGCATTATCTGCTCTTGGTTGGTCATCATGCTTTAAAAACGTGCGAATGTCCATCGATGGCATCACCAGTGCAACCCCACCGCGCGTATCAATATCCAATCATATAAATCGGCGCAAGGAAAGGATGGGAGAGAGAATCTCGTCATATGCTTGTGATTCATGAAACCTTTCTGGACCTCTGGGGTCCTCAATCGTCACTGCACCTAATAGTAACCTCGCAGCATCTTGATAGCATGCCTCACAGCAACACACTAGCTCAACGACCTCCGGTGTATTATATCGGACATGCCGGTGTACCACTCCTCTTTGGGGAAGATGAAACTATCGTAATTGCTCGAGAGAATCTACGGGCGATTGGAGAAGAGATTCTGAGCTTGGAACCACGGCCAAAGGCTATCATCGCGTTCAGTGGACATTTCGAAGCAGGAGAGATACACGGTCCTGGAACGATTGAGGGTCGGTCAAGCATTATCCCGCTTGACCCCTTGGCTTACAGAAAGATCGAATTTCATGGACTAATATTTGGTGTAATGTAGTCAACGTGAAAGAGCAAACTCATATTCAGGTACGTTCTACAAACAAGGCATGGCAGCCGAGCATATCTAATTGATAGTTTGCAGCATGACTTTGTCGGTGATTTTCACGACACGCATCCCCATGTGTACAAATACGAATGGGATCACCAGGATGCGCCCAAACTGGGCAGCGAGATTTGGCGCTATCTAAAAGAAAATGGCCTCAAGGCGAAAAGAGTAGAAAGGGGAGTTGATCATGGCGTCTGGGTGCCTTTCAAAGTCATGTTCCCACCAGAGCGGCCACTGGACATTCCACTCATCCAAGTCTCAACTTTTCACGGTTACGATCTGGAATCTCAGATAAAATTGGGGGAAGTTTTCGAAAGCCTTCGGTAAGATATTCAATTGGTGCCCTTGATATGAGCTTGCGTTCACCAAATATGTAGAGAAGAAGGGTACCTGATCCTTGGATCAGGTATGGCTGTACATTCGTTTTCTTCAATTGAAGAGATCAAAAATGCGCCTACCAAGGATGAAAGAGTCCTAGTAAAGAAAAAGGTCTTACAGGAGACGAGGAACTTTGACAATTTTATCCGAGAGGCGGTCGTTGAGAACGACCCGGCTGCCCGCAAGAAAGCGCTACTTGCTCTCGAGTCCCGCTATGAATTCAAGCGAAGCCATCCCACAGTCGAGGTACGTCATGACCACAACATGAAGAAGTTTCTGGGTACTGAATTTGACACAATCTCTCCTCAGCATTTCACCCCGTTGCTTGTGGCTGCAGGGGCGGCAGGAGAAGCAAGAGTTGAGCCTTTAGGTGTCGACATCATTTCTCCAGGCATGTCATTTTTGAATGTTCGATTTTCATAGTTAGCTTTAATTGAGATAAGCCTGGATTTTGACTTCCGCAAGGGCGATGGTGCTTTTAGTTGTGCCCATATGTGATCGCACCTCATAACACCGAGGGCTAACGATGTCAACTCTGTGAATCACTATTGCCAACAAGTATCATTGAATTTACTAGCGGCTTACTGGAGTTATCAGCTAGGAAACCCCGTTCAGTTTCTGAACATTCAAACTTGAACATGTCTTCGAGCCCTGCCCGTCTTAGTGGTATCCACGATTGTGGAGCAAACATGTGATAGCATAGATAGCTGAGGTATTTAAGCTATCAGACGAATGCCCAGAAACGTCATTGTCGAGCACGGAGCATGTTGTTGGTCATAATCCTTCTGGCATCTTAAACCTGGACACATTCTGGTCGTTCCAGCCAAGAATTTGTTTTACGCTGAAGTAAACATATTGGATGACACAATGCAACCGGCAACACTTCGACGACATGGCCAACGGGGGGCATACGATTTGGAATCGGTCAAAGACGTTTTCGATGATTGCTTCATCGCTCATGTGTCTTACGTAGTAGATGGTTTACCAGCCTGCATGCCGATGATCGCGTTGATAATGGAAAATCCGGAAGCCGATACGATGCGATCTTCCGAGCCGGGGGAACAGCTTAGGAACGGCACCAATGGGGGCCTCGAGAGTGGCATACAAGAGGACACCAATAACACTTTTGTTTACTTGCATGGACATCCAAGTACAAAGCTCATGGAATTGGTTAGGGAGGCCAACAGACGCCAAAGTGAGGATGTTCAAAACACAACTGAGACCAATGGTCAGACTGTGCATACCTCTCTGGGTGAAGTAAAGGTTTGCATCACTGCTACTAAAGGTGAGATCTGGATCAATCACCTTCAACCCATCACCAGTTTTGTGGCGAATTTGCATCAAGGCTGACGTACTCATAAAGTTGATGGACTGGTTTTGTCCTCAGCCCCTAACGGGCACACGTTTAACTATCGATCAGCCACCATTCATGGAACATGCGAACCTGTAAGCTCTAAAACTACGAAGCTTTCAGTCATGCGCGCAGTCACACAAAAGATTGTCGCCAATCGATGGGAGGAGGTGAACCCGGTAGCGTCGATGCAAGTCAGCTTGGTATATGTTGTCAAAGTACACATCGATGCTCTTTCCGTTAAGTCACGAACAGGAATACCAGGCATCCAGCCGAGGAACAAAGAAAAGGATGGGCCGGACATCCAAACCCCGCCGTGGACTGGGGTTATTCCATTGTGGGAAGAATTAGGAACCCCGGTAGACAGTGGACTCACCCCAAATGCTGTTGTATCTGATAATCTTGAAGCATACATCGAGAACCGGAACCAGAGGCAGCAAGCATACTCGAAGAAGGCGGCAAGTTCATGACAATAAGAAGAATATATTTCATTGGAGTACTCATTGTTAGTGCTATATCGTGTATGCTTCAGTGCGACTCGTAGATAATGAGATTTTCGAGCCAATTATGAGCCATATAAAGTCAGCTCCGCCATTTGATCTAATATACCACTATGGACAATTGCCTGCACATCTCCAGGCTTCAAAGAATATTCGCTGTAGTACGGCCCCATATCAGCTCCTTTGCTGCCTCGCGTCCGGGAAATACAAATCCGGAAAGTGTTGACTCTTTGTTATCAAAGTCTGCCGATCCTTCGTTGCCCCTCACTTAATCCACCAATATCTGATAGCGTGGAGGATACCCGAGGCTCTGGGTCTTCTGCACTCCATCAAGTGGTTCTCGCTGCCATGTCGACTCGCTCCAGGAAAGGCTGCATTGACTGCAAGCAGGCCAAGATCAAATGTGATGAACAGCATCCTTTCTGTGGAACCTGCACTCGGCGGCGCAGGCAGTGCAGGGGCTATGCCACACCCAAGGCGCGATCGCCATCTCATCACCACCCCCATGGGGATAGGGTATCTGCTGCTGGGGCATATTCCCCGAGCTCTGCATCTTCCGAGTCTTTGTTACCCAATGGCTACCCAGACGGCGGATCAGATGTTCTTAGGGCTGCTGATTGTGTATCGGTGGTCAGCGAGTCGCATTCATCGTCTGGCACCCAGAATACACCATTCACGACAGGAATGATCGCGTCAAACACATTCAATGGAGGCTCTGTCAATGGTTCGTCTGACTCACCATTGTTGGGAATATCACATGCATCACTGGCACCGCCAAGGAGCCCGAGCTTCATCCCATTAAGCGAGATTCAACCAGCCGACAAGCCATTGATTGAGATTTACTTTTTGAGACACCCTTCCGACATGGTGATGCGGAATGACTCCTTCATTGACGAAATGAATTGCGCGGTGATTTCTCTCCTGCAGAAGTGCCCCGTCGTTGTGAGCGATTCTTTATGTGCAATCGGCGAAAACTACGTTAAAGAAACCGCAGATGCTTCCTTGGTGTCAAGTCGTAAGCTACGGCTTCTAAATCGTTTACGCCTCGTGAATGAAGATGGTCGTAACCCCGAGTTAGTTCTATTACTCTTACTCGCTCTATGTGGTGCGGAGGTATGTCACCTGTTCTTCTTGAACTTTTGATGCTAGTGCAACAGGCTGTTGATTCTCGCGAACAGCTCACAAGCCCTCATTCTGACGGTAAAGGTGAAAAACTTATTGCATTGATTGAGAATGTGGCCTTGGTTTTGGAATTCCACAGTCAACCAGGCAGAGAGCTCAACAGCGCAGCAAAGTACTTCACCCGAGGGCTGGCCCGCCAAGATCTACTTCTCTCCCTTTCACGCATGCAACGCACCAGAATCAACACATCTACATGGCTCGATAACTACTCGAGGAGTCATGTAGACAGACTTTTAGGTTTAACTGCAACCTTGGTCCCGATACTAACACAGCTCGCCGCTCTGGCCGAGGATGTTGAATATGCGATCACAGACCATAGTATTGGCGGCGACACGTATTGTCTGCCGAATTTCAGTCAGATTTCTATAAAACGTTCGGATTTGGAAGAAAGGGCGGCCTCAATCCGAGCCCAACTACTTAGTTGGCGTCCAATTCAGGACTCCTCCTTGACAATGCGAACATCCCGCACACTCTTGCTCCATTCAGCCGCGTGGAAAGCAGCGGCCCTCCTCTACCTATTTAGGCTTTTCAATCGGCCAGGAAGTTCAGACAATGCAGATGGTATAGCTCTGAGCATGGCTTATGAGATCATGACCAATATCTCGGGACCGCCTGATGATATCAAGCTCAGCCTCTGGCCACTGTTTCTTGCGGCTTGTGAAGTAGAGAAGCCTGATGATAGGGATCTTGCAACTCAAATGTTCGACGATATTTGCGCTTCCAGGCCAATTTTGACTGCAAAGAGGACTAAATCAGTTTGCGTGGATCAAATATGGCCAGCGAGGGATCGAGGGGAGAACTGGGACTGGATGCAGCTGGTACGGTTGGAAGATAATGCATTTACTCCGCTCTAAAAATGATAATACGAATATACTCTCAATTAAGGATGTGAACTATCTATTTCAAGCCCCATTCTATACCCTAGCTTGATCAATCTGCCATTGTTGAACCTGAAGTAATCTGTAAACCACGTCTAGGATTGGGGTTTCCACCCCAACCTCTTTTGCAATCTTGAGCGGGTTGCCCAAGATTACTTCTAATTCCATAGGCCGTCCTTCTTCTAAATCTACAAGCATACTGGGCTTATAGTCACAGTCGTTTGGAAGCCTATAAGCCATCCAGTCGACAACAGACTCGGGTAACTCATGGCCTGTGGCCTTTGCAATCTGCCACATCTCCCACATCATTGGGACAATCATGGTCTCTCTTCCCCCACTTCTCTGAAGCTCGCCGACATTGATCCTGGATAATGCACACACCGTGTTGAAGGTTCCATTCCACAACAGCTTCTCCCACCTGGCCTTCTGAATATCATCCACCAGCTCGCAAACGCTGGCCCCACCAGCACAGTACATCTCCACAAAGGCTTTTGCTCTCTTCAAGCTTTCAGAGTCTTCCAGGCCTGCATGATAGTGAGGTCCCATTTTTGACACATCTCGACCAACTTGTTTCACAATATTCGGCTCCTTGATCGCGCTTCCGATGTGACTAACACTGCTTATAACAGCATTAGATGGCCATTTCTTGATAACGTCCTGTTCGATGCCAATCCCGTTTTGTATCATGACAATGGTAGTTTTTCCAACGGTTATCACAGGAGATAGTATATCGACGACAGGATTTCGCTCTGGCAGCTGCTTTGTGCACAAAACAAGATAATCGTATTCTACAGGCTGTCCTTCGTCATCCTTTGCTGCGTCCAGGGCTGATGACACTATTCGATGCGGCTTCCACCTGGGTAACTGGCCATGATCAACTGAATCGACGTCCCATCCATGCTGGGAGACGTAGTCAAACTTCGATCTAAGCACGACGGTCACATTTGCGAGGTTGGATTTCGTGAGAACAACGGAGGCGATTGTACCGACGCCTCCTGATCCAATGAGACAGATCTGGTAGAGTGGCTTGGTCGGGCTCGGCATGTTGATTTGAGAAGGTTTTTAATTGCCGTATATTAATTTGCAGTGGTTTTGATCTTGTCGGGAAGAACAGTTTCACAGGAACACCCATGAATCTCTCCCACGACGTTGCAATGATATCGTTAGCCCATATCCCTAGTGCAAACATCCACATTTCTCCGTCAGCCCATGCCGGATGTATAGCTATCAGCTAGGTCGATCATCCGCTTTTTTCGATCATAGATAGCATAGATAAGAACGCAGTATGGGTAGCATCTTCAAGTCATATGACAATGTATGCGGGGTCAAGTTTATGGCTATCCTTAGTATCCGGACCGTACGGGAAATTCTTGAGGAGCGGGGTATCAACATCAGCCGAGGCGTGATTCAAGAAAATGAAGCTTGTCTAGGTAAACAACGAAGGGTGGTTGGTTTCAGGCTAGAATGAATTGTATTCAGATACTACAATGTTCTATGGCTAAATTACTGCGTGCCAGATAACGTAAAACGATCCAATTCACAAAACTATTCGTAGCTTAAGTTATTGTAGAGTCCTCTACACACCCCTGAAGATCTTGTCCAAAGTCTCAGCGTGTTCCAGCAAAGCAGAATCTTGGAGCCTTGGAGCGACGATTTGAATGGATACTGGAGAGCCAGCCATGAGTTGCGGGTTGTCTACAAATCATGTTAGCAATAATAAAAAAGAGACATAGGAACAGTATAGCCATACATAACGCTTGGATATCATGGTCCATGGCACTTATGCCCTTGAAGTCCTCGTCCTTGGGATCCAAGGTAGGATCCACCTTCGAGAACGGCACGATAACAGCCGGATACTAGAAAAGAGCGTCAGCGTTACCGAGTCGGGGTGAAATTGCATTTTGACTTTAACCCACATCCATGGCGTTCCAGACTACAGTATACAACTCTGATGTACACTTGTCTTTCGTGATAGCTGTATGAGGGGCAGCTGGAGTAATGAGCAAGTCAATCCCGGCTTGTTGCCAAGCATCCAGCATCTTCTTCTGCATGGCTCCCTTCTTAGTGTTCCATTCCCAAACCTCTTCATGTGTTTTTCTTGGGAGATCCCAGTATCCAAAGTTTGCCACGGACGGAACAACTGGCTCAGCTGCCTTGGAAAGCTCTCTTCTCTGGTATGAAAGTCCATCCAGGGTGAATAACTGGCTACATATTTCGCGAATTTCTGCAAAGTCGGGGCAGATGGGAGTAAAGTCTTTGACCTCATATCCAGCAGCGGTGAGCTTCTCCTGTGCCTCGCGAATTGCTCTGCGCATGGGAGGGTGCGGAGTTAGTCCAGATGCGTGGAGAATACCGATGACTGGTTTCTGTGCAGATGGTAGGGGTTGTTGTCCCATTGCACCAGCAATAACGGCAGGATCAAACTTCCAAGGCTCATAAGAGCGGACCGCCTTTGTGAATAGAGTCATATCACGCACCGAATGGGCCAGTGGCCCCAATACGGCGGGTATTCCTGTATTAACGCCGGTCCAGCCAGAGGCAGCGTAGCCGATAAAGGGAAGAATTCCAACCGAGGGCTTGTAACCATACACACCATTGAAGGCAGCAGGAAGGCTGTTGGCAGACAAATTAATATTGAATACAGTTATTGGGCTTTTCGCGTGGTTACATACCGGATCGATCCACCTACATCGGTACCAATGCCCAACACATTGCCTCGGAAAGCTGAGAGAGACCCTTCGCCGCCGCTGCTGCCACCGCAGGACAGGTGATTAACGACTGGGTTACCAGTATGCCCAAAGACATTATTATCGCACTCGGCGACAAGCATGGTCTGTGGAACATTGGTCTTCGCGATGACAACTGCCCCAGCTTCCTCCACCAGTTCGATTATCGGAGTTGTTGTGGTGGATGGGTCAAAACACCGAGAAATATAGCCGTTGCTTGCATCGAATCCCTTGATATGGAAGCATTCCTTTGACTTGTTTAGCACAACTTGATACTCACAAAGTAAAGAAGGGAATACAACAAGCCAAATCTCACCTTGAAACTCATCGGCAAGCCATGCAACGGGCCCACCGTCTTCCCGGTCTTTTGGAAATGCTCGTCCAATTTCTTTGCCTTTTCAATTGCTTCGGTAAAGCATATCTCCGTTAACGCCTGGCACAGCTGTTGACAAATGGCAGCCCTTTTGCAAAATGCTGTGATCGTTTCCGTCGCCGTAAATGTACCTTTGGAGATTTCCTCTGCCAACGAAGTAGCGTCATATATTTCTCCCGTGATCAGTTGCTCTCGTTCAGAAAGAATCCCAGAGGTGAGTGCAACAGGCCGAACATCCACAGTCCCCTTCGGCGGGCGCATCGCATCCGTCAGGTGCCATGCTTCCGGGATTCTCGAAAGCTGTTCCTGTCTCTTTCTGTCTCTCACTACCTCCCATGATTCGGGGGCCTTCAAGGACGTCGTGCTGACCTCGGTCGCGGTAGTAGACATTTTGCTTGGCTAAAATAATAGCTAAGGAATAAGGAAGCAGTTTGAACTAAGAATAGCTTTCGATTGGTTACTGACTTGATGTATCAATGACATCCAATTAAAGGAGCAATGTAAAGGTATTTCCGGCTTGCCCCTCTTATATATGTTGTATGCTTTGAGGGGTCTGTTCCGGTAGGCTTCTAGGGCGTCAGCCTCTTTCTCCCAATTATTAATGTGGCCATTTCCTCTGATCTTATCAATCAGGAGTTGTCATTGAGCCTGGGTAGGATCCGGATTTAACACCATCCCGGCTATCTTCGCTATCTACGCTATCGGAAAACCACCAAATTCCGACCAGCCGTGATAGCATGGTGCGGGGTCAAGTGATGAGATAAACCCATGGGCATAGTTCGTAGCATGAACCAATCAATGCCCCAGGTTAAAGACTTGGTTCGCACATAGATAGCACTGCAATGGCAGGGACTCTTGATAACAGACTCTCAACACAGTTGAAGGATACCACCGCCTCTCCTACAGATTTGGTGTGGAAGCAGCGTTACTGCGATTATAAAAGAAAAGATTTTGTCACAGGTTTCTAACTGCCGATCGCTGTATCTCTGACACCAAGTAATTTGTAACTAACCACTCAACCTTTTACGACGAGCTGCTCTCACCTCTCTCATAATGTCTAAGATGAAAGAGGTTGATACAGCTGTGACATCTGCCAGCGACCATGAGAATGGAACTTCTCGCTCCGTTGATTTCATTAACCGACTGAAAGGCCAGAGAATGGACCTAAACGAGCTTGGAAAGGCGTACTTTCAACAATCTCTACAATATGAAGAGCATCAGTTGGAACGAGACTCTATCAAGGTCCGCAGAAAGCTCGACTTCTACGTGTTGCCACTGGTAAGAAGTTATATCCTTAGCCTCGAGTTACGCAGTTGATACTAACGATGCTCATGGCAGATGATGATGACGTATATGCTGAGCTTCTTGGACAAACAAACGTAAGTTAGGTCAACTACTATTCAAATTGATTCCTAGACTTCCTCCTAGATGAACCACTAAATCAGCCAAACTAGTCTCAACTATTCCAACGCATATGGCTTACAAGCCGATACAAACATGAAAGGAGATGACTACTCATGGGTGTCATCTGCTCTATACATCGGCTGGCTCGTTGGTGCTTATCCATGGCAAATCATGCTACAGAGGTATCCCATTGGCAAGCTCATCGGAGTAATGCTATTTGTTTGGGGGGCTGTTTGTATGCTTCAGGTGAGTGAGGCTACCAGTCAAATACAGTTTATTCACATGCGGAACACTGATATCGACGCGAATGTAGGCGGCAGTTTTCAACTTCGCAGGCTTTTTCGCCATCCGCTTCTTCCTCGGGCTACTTGAGGCAGTCATCTCACCCGCCTTCATTATCCTTACATCTATGCTCTGGACTCGTGACGAACAAAGTTTGCGAAGCTCCTTTTGGCTTTCGGTGAATGGGGTAGCTTCTATTGTAGGTGCGCTTCTCGCGTATGGGGCTGGGCACGCGACTGGCCTGAGCATCCCTCAGTGGAAACTCATTTACCTCGTAAGTTACCCTTTTAACTTATTTTCCAGCATCTCGATTTCTGGGCTCTCAGTATTTCTTACGACTTTCGATATAGATCGTTGGAGTCATGACTATCCTGTGGGGATTTGTGATCTACGCCTACCTACCTGATGGTCCGCATAACGCGAAGATGTTGACCGAATACGAAAGGATTGTCGCTGTGTGGCGCATTTCGCGGAACCAGACAGGGCTAAAGCACAAAGTCATCGTTCCAGGTCAGATAAAAGAGGCCGCTCTTGATTTCAAGGTTTGGCTGCTCTGGCTCATGGCAATCTGCTATGGTATCCTGAACGGCGGCGTGGCAAACTTCCTGTCTGCCATCATAAAGGGCTTCGGTTATGATGCACTTCGTACAAGCCTTCTTCAGACTCCAGTGGGAGGTCTTGAGCTTGTAATGGTTATTGCTTTTGGCTACCTATCAAGACTGCCAAACATGGTCGGCGCCACAATCGTCAGTAAGTTGTTGACATTGGCTTGGGAAGACATTTCTCTCTAATACTGACTCCCTTACCAACTAGTATCTTGCCTGCCAGGCCTAGCTAGTCTAATTGGGATAATGAAGATCGACATAGAGCATCGCTTTGCCTTAGTTGGCATGTGCTGGTTGCAAGGCATTCTTGGCTCTCCGGTCATTCTGAACTGGACTCTACCTGGATTGAATACCGCTGGCCACACCAAGAGAAGTTTTGTTCTCGGTGTATACTTTGTGTATGGCTCCCATGTCTCTAAAATATCCTTAGTTTTTCCCTTGCTAATTTGATCAGCATCTATTGTGCGGGAAACATCGCCGGGCCGCACCTGTTTCTTGCAGCAGAAGTCCCACGATATCCAACAGCCATCAAAGGCTTGGCCGGGGCGTATTCAGGCGCGATGGGTCTTCAAATTATTTATACAACGTACTGCTATCTCGAAAACCGAAGAAAGCAAAAGGAAGGGCTTTTGCATGCACCCAACTCAACTGAAGATGCCCTTGAGAGCTTTGATGATTTGACCGACAAGGAGAACAAGCATTTCAGATACTGTATCTAGGCCAGACAGGAGGCTTTCTGTCCAAAGTCATCCAGCAGCTTAACCTTTGGCTGGTAGTCTTCGCAGCGGATTATCCAGTGTGACGTTCTTCTTCACTTATTTACATCACTCCCTTCAGCTAGATATGAACATACCTTGATTGCTATTTACACCGTAACCTTTTCATAGCTTCGTTACTGATCTTGCCTCTCATGGGGGAAACCTTTCTTAACAAGACGAAAGTCCATCCCCCCATCCGAGCCAGAGAGATAGTCAATAATTAGTTGGCGATGAATTGTTAATTCGTGATTATCAAGTCTCTCTCCCTTGTATGGCAACAAGTCTTTTCTTCCCATTCTTCCCACAGTAAAGGGTGATATTCTCAACCAGCGCATCATTCGTAAAGTTCATTCACAAGCATCAACATTTCTCACTTTTTCAATCACATCAAATCAAAAGTAATAACAAAATCAAAAGTATATTCGTAGGAAGTCTGAATGGTAAATAAAAATACATACAACGAGGTACCAACTAGTTGCAAGGAATGAAATGTTACAACCACGTGCCGATCAAGATGTAAATATGGCTTTTTGTCTCAGCTCAGTGCAGATCAGGTTCTACAACCGCTTTCACGGCCGGAATACCAGCCCGATCGTCATACTTTCGCCAAGCTCATCACTCAGCAACGCACTGGGAGTAGTAGTCGTTTTGCACCTTGCAGACATAGCCCGACGCACAGCTCGTGGTGCCAGTCCAGTTGGATCCGCCACATTGGCCGTACGCGGCAGCAGCCGAAGTCTCGTCGCCTTCGTCATCCTCACACTCGTCGTCATCGTCGGAATCCCCGGGGGTGGCCGAGGGAGATGAGCCCGAGGAGACGGTCACGGTAGCGGTAACCGTAGCAGTGACGGTGCTAGCACCGCACTGAGACTCGCTGACTGCCAGGGAGGTGGTTGGGAGAGATGTAGCGCTCTGGGCTTCAGACTGGATGGAGGTGGTGGCCTGGATAGGAGCAGCCGAGGTGGCACTGGAGGCAGCAGAGGTTGCGATGGAAGCTGCTGAGGTGGCACTGGACTTCTCGCTCACGATGACGGTGGCGCTGGTTGGGACGGCAGCAACAGTAGAAGACTGGATTGTGGTCGCCGAGTTCTGGGTAGCTGTGGGTGAGGCGGCAGCAGAGGAGCTGGAGCTGGCGCTGTCGCCAGAGTCGCTGTTACCAGAGTCGTAGGTAGAGCCAATGGGACCGAACTTAATGTTGGAGAAGACGACAGAGGAGTCGGGTGATTCGGCTTCCACAGTAGCCGGGACACCTGAGCTTGTAGAGCATGTTCCTCGTGCTGCGCCAGCGCCAGTCGCGTCCACGGGGTAGGTAGAGTCGAGCCAAAGCATGTTGGCATGGTGCTATATCAAGTTAGCAAATAATCATATAGAAAGACGAGTGAGTTGACTTACATCATCCCACAGGCTCATGACCAGGACCATGGGGGCAGCAAGCGCGTCGCTCATCTGAGAGTATCCTCCCTTGGCCTTGAAGTCATCTTCGTCTCCGAATGCCACCTTCTGGGCCGTGCAGAATTCTTCGGTGACCGAGTTGCCAGAGGTACCCTCGACCTTTGAGTCCGAGTTTGCAATCACCTTGCCATCCTGAACGTAGAGTCGCTTGATCTCAGAGAGGCCACCGCTGGCGCCGGCAATGAACTGAGTGACAACAGTGATCTTCTTAGTTGTGTCGACAAGGAAGTCAGATCCAGGGCCGTAGAACGACTCATTTCCTTGGCGGTAAGAGTTGAAGTCGCATCCATCTGGGTCGCAAGTGCCAGCGTAACGGGTGGTGGAGTAGGTTCCGCCGCAGGCATCACCCTCACAAGAGTGCTGGGTCAGGGTTGTGCAGGGGTGAGGGGTGAAAGCTGTAGAGATGTCGTTGGCTTCCCAGATATCCATCTCCGGGCAGCAAGTGCCCAGGTTTCCAGTGCCCGAGTTAGAATCGCTCTCTGAAGGTTCCCAGCCCTCTACATTCGCCTAGTCCAAGTTAGCATAGAATTAGAGGGGTGAAGAATATTGGTTGACTTACAACTCCGTTGATGAACTTGACATCACGGGCGCACTGAGCGTCACAGTAACCAGTACCGTACTTAGCTCCAGCCTTATTACCGTCGTACTTGGCCAAGCCGCCATCTTCATCCATGGAGACAAAGTACAGGGCGCCGTTGAGGCCGCAGCTGATTGCAGATACGTCAACGTCAAAGGTGAACTCGTTACCGAGCAGGGTAAACATCTGGTAGGTAGACTCATCCTCAAGGAGGTAGAGACGGCTGCCAATGTTGGTTGCGTAGGCGCCCTTGGTGACAAAGTCGATGCTGAGCTGGTTGCCGCTGGTAGTGACACCGTATGTGTTGGCATA